CCGGGCCCTGCTGAGGAAGACGAAGATCCTTGTGTTGGATGAGGCCACGGCGGCCGTGGACCTGGAAACAGACAACCTCATTCAGTCGACCATCCGGACGCAGTTCGACGATTGTACCGTCCTCACCATCGCCCACCGGCTCAATACCATCATGGACTATATGAGGTGATGCCCCTGGCACAGAGGGCCTCCGGGCCTTGGGGTTCACCCCATTTTCACTGACTCATTCATTCATTCATTCAACACCATCCTTACACTTAGTGACAGCCCCAGTTGGTGGAACTTCCCTTTATTCTGAGTGTACTAGGTATTTCTGACAACACTCCATCATTTATTCAATCAACACGTGTGTGGTGTGCCTGCCGCATTCCTGGCCCTGTTCCAGGTGCTGGGGACTCATCAGGGAGCTGTCAGGCGAGGAGCCTGCCTAAAGGACCTTGTAGATTCATTTGGGCTGGGTGTGGAGAGAGACAGTAAACACAGCAACAAATAAAAGCGAATTGTGCTGGGAAGGAGATAGAAAAGGTGACAGTCCCGGGGGCAGCATCACAGGACTTGGACGTTGACTAGAAATAGGGATGGAGGATGGGCAGCCGGTTGGCAGGCTACTGCAACAGTCCTAGCAGAAGGTGTTAGGTGCCTGACCCAAAGTAAGAACTTGCCCAGGTGGGCTCTTGAGGGCACGAAGTGCCAGCCCCTTCCTTACCCCTCTTGTCTACGTCCCTCCCCTTGCAGGGTGATCGTCCTGGACAAAGGAGAAATCCTGGAGTGTGGCTCCCCCTCCGACCTCCTGCAGCAGAAAGGTCTCTTCTACACCATGGCCAAAGATGCCGGCTTGGTGTGAGCCCTGGAGCTGGCGCATCGGGTCAGAACCGCAGGGCCGACACGCCAGCGTCCAGGGATGGGTCAGCATCCTTGGGAAGCCAAGCCTCCCGTTCATTGAAACCAAAAAAACCCAAAAAACCAAAACACAGAGCAGCCACGCTCTGGCGCCCTGCCTGGAATTGGCCGTGAAGAAACAGGAGAGACCTGGAGATGCAGCCCACCCAGAACATGCACCCTCATCTCTGTTCCCCCACCAGACGCGCACACGTTCTCGCAGCCCTGGGGACACGCGCTGTGCTCCTGGGGCTCTGCGAGGAGGTTTGGGCGGCCAGACTCCTGGAGAAATTGGTTGCGTAAAATATGCCAGTGAGCAGCTCCAGCCAGCTGCCTCAGATCTGTCCAGCCCGTCTGTGGGTTCCAGGTCTTCGAGAAGCGGCCGGCCCCGCACCTCTGCCGTCCTTGCCTGGCTCTACCCACAATTCTTTGTTGCCTCAGGGCTGCAATTTGGAGGAGAGGGGCCTGGTAAAGATCATCGTCACCCCCGGAGCAGCATCCCGAGGGCCACGGATGCTCCTCTCTGCAACCCTCTGGTCTTCCAGGTGCTCAGATGCTGGGAACCTCCACTGGGACTGGCTCCGCAGGCCTGAGGCAGCCTCGTCATCCACACGCTTCTCGTGGACGGGACCCGGCTGGACCCGCAGGTGATCCGGGCCTGGCGTCTCTGAATGCCCACTCCCCAGCTTGGTCGCCCCCCTCCTCACCCCTTCCAGTCTGCTCCTTGCTCTCCTTCCTGCCTCTTTACTCCCATCGCTAGGATGGGTTCGCTCCTCTAGGAACCTGAAAGAGAAGGGCTGCTGACGGTTATGAAGCTTTCGACGCCCCAGGGACCTCCCAGGCGTGAGCAGCTGGTACGGAAAAGAGTCCCGTGGAGCCTTCTGCTTCTGGGTGTTCCATTTCAACCTCTCGCCCGTGGCATCTGGTTAGCTGTCACGGGCGGCTTTGTGGACAACCTGCCGCTTTAGTTACTGAGTCTCTTCCGGGACAAAAGGACATGTTCACGAATACCAGTGATTTCTTTTTCTTTGTTTAAAAAGTACTGCTGCGGGGAGAAGAGCAGTCTTAAGAGTTTAATTTCATGAGGGGAAACCTCAGGTGAGGAGCAGCCTTCCCGGGAACGGCCGAGTTGGCCGGATACTGACAGTCCGTGTGTTCCTGGAAGAAGACAGACACGTGGCGTCTTTCAAGGCCCGTCCTTCAGGTCTCTCAGTTGAGACAAAAATGCCCCAAAAAGCAGAGGTGACTGCTGCCCCAAGATTCACACTCGCTATGAATGACGTCGCTGACTTCAAACCCAGAGACGCATCTTTCTTCTTTTAGGCGGGAATATGTATTTATTTTTTTGTAAGTTATACCATTCTCTCACGTTAGATAAACCAAGTTTTTCTTGGGGATCCTTTTGTAACGACTTACACTGGAAACGTGAACATTTGCAAATAATTTGCAGTAAAAAAATATATATATATATTTTATTTCTTTCTAAAAGACTGTTCCATTTTCTTTGGGGCGTCACACAAGTTTCAGCTGTCTCCTCTGGGAGAATCGGGATGGGGCATCCTTTACGTGCTTCTCATTTTTTCCCTCTGGCATCACGTCGTCTCTAGTGGGAGCTGTTAGAAACGGGGGGCCTAGAGGTTTAAGACTCACGTGCGGTTTAGTGGGGCCTCAGCATGGCATCGTGGACAGGGCCTGGGCGTGGGGGTCAGAACGACCTGGCCTCGAGTCCTGCCCTTGTCATTCGCCGGCTCTGTGACCCTGGGCAGGACGCTTCAGTTTCCGTGCCTCAGTCGCCTTGTGTGTAACATGGGGCTGATCCTATCTGGGATGGTTGTGAAGATGAGCAGTGATGTGCGTGTGGTTCACGTGGCCCAGGTCAGGTTTTAAAACGCAGGCAAAGCAAAAATCACACAGAGCCGAAACTACCCTTGAAAACCCCGTGTGTTCGTCTGGATAGGTTAACCCTTGCTGCAGTAATGGATTAGCCATAAAATCCTGGGAGATGAACACGAGGGCGTATTTCTGACTCAGACGTCTCTCGAGGAGGGTCAGGCACCTCTCCGGGGGTCACCAAGTTCCATGCAGCAGTTGAGAGATCCAGAATATTCTGGTCTGAGGACGTCATCTCAAGAGCTGGCTTCCAGGTCACTGTAGCGGGGGAAGGGAGGACGTGGACCACTCCCTCTCGTACGTGTCTCAAAACGGAAGTGACGCAAGTCAGTTCCGCTCACAGCGCCTTGGCCAGAATTAGTCACGTGGCCCCAACCAAACCACAGAGGAAGCTGGGAAACTCAGGGGAGCTTGGGGAGGGAGGTGTCTCTCTCCCTGCGGTAATTTGCATGGTTTCTGAGTTCTGGGGAGTGAGGTAGTGAGACTAGGGGAGTCGATTTTAGACGTGAGTTGTGTTTCTGTTGCAGAGCCTGACCCCGGGTGTGAAAGTCCCAGGTCGGATCCTGGGGTGTGCATTGGGGGACAGTGGGGTGTCAGGAGACATCCCGGGCTGGGTTAAAGTTCAGTGCACTTGAGGATCAGGAGGCAGCGGCCAGCATCGCCTGGAGGAGGGCAGAGGCAGAAGCACCGAGGTGGGGGACCTGCACATCTGCTCATCCAGGTGAGCGCTTTGGTGCCGTGGAAGAACGGGGGCAGGTAGGCATTGTTGTGCACCTACTGTGTGCCAGGGCCTGGGCTCGGCGCTTTGCATAGCTCTCCGTATGAGAAGGGATCCCAGGGGCCAGAGACGAGTGAGGGGTTGGGTCTGATGCCCAGCGTTGAGCTGCTTGTTCATTCTTCATCCTCACACCCCATATCGGGTCCTACAGCAAATGCGGTTGACTTCCTCCAAAACATCTAGGATCTGACCACTTCTCGTCCCCTCCCTTTGCTGCCATGCTGGCCCCAGCCACGTCGTCTCTCCCTCATCTCCCTGTGACAGCCAACTCAGTGGTCTCCCTGCTTCTGCCCCCAGCCCACCCCCGACCCAGTCTGTTCTCACCCCAGCAGCCTCAGTGATCCCATAAAAACATACATAACGACCCTCCTGTGGTCCCCATCTCGGGGAAGCAGCCAGCCCGGCCTCAATGCCCTGCACCACCTGGCTTCCTGCCAGCGCTGTCATCAGCTCCACACTCTGGCCACTGCTCAGGCCTCTCCAGCCACACTCACTTCCCTGCCCTTCTTCCAACGTGCCGGGCGCAGTCCTGCCTCAGGGTCATCCCTCTTCCCCTGGAATCAGCATGGCTTGCTCCTTTCTCTATTGGTTTGACGGTGGCAGCTCTGTGAGAGCAGGGGGTTAATCGGTTCATTCCTTGCTGAATGCGCACCATGGGCACACAGCTTGTGCTCAGTGACTGCATTCTTTGATGTAAGACTGAGCTCTCTGTGCTGGACCCTGGGCCAAATGTGAAGTCACGGGACCTCTAGAGCTTGCCTTTTAGGAGCCACGGTTTCTTCACTGGGGCAACTGGGATCATTGTATCCACCTGGCCAGGTGGTTGTGAGGATGGAAACAGATCAGGGTAAAGCATCCAGCACCATACTGGGCCCTCAGAATGCCTTCATACACAGTGATGCCATTCCTCCGTTGATCTGTTCATCCATTCATCCACCCAGCCATCTGTCCATCTATTTATCCATCTGTCCACCTACTCACCCAGTCACTCACCCATCCATCCATCTACCTGTTCATCCATCCACCCAACCATCCATCCACCCTTGTATCCATCCATCCACCCATCTATCCATATCCATTCATCCATCCACCCTTATATCCATCCATCCATCCACCCACCCATCCATCTATCCACCCATCCACCCACCCATCCATCCATCCGTCTGTATCCATCCATGCACCCAACCATCCATCCACCCTTGTATCCATCCATCCACCCATCTATCCATATCCATCCATCCATCCACCCTTATATCCATCCATCTATCCATCCACCCATCCATCCATCCACCCATCCACCCACCCATCCATCCATCCATCTGTCTGTATCCATCCATGCACCCATCCAATCCATCCATCCACCCACCCATCTATCCATCCATCTGTCTGTATCCATCCATGCACCCATCCATCCATCCATCCATCTGTATCCATCCATGCACCCAGCCATCCATTTGGTCATGCTCAGCATTTATTGAACCCTCCTACTTGCTGTGCACTGTGTGAGGTTCTGGGGAAAACACAGTGAACACACATGAATACATATGCATACTTCCTTCGGCTCAAGAAGGAAAGGAGCCGTTTGCTTCCCTTCTGGTGGATACTAGAGTGGAATTCGGCTCTTAGCAGCGAGCTGATGTTCCAGAGCTAAAGAAGTGGATGAGAGGCAGTGTGGCACAGTGCTTAGGACATGGGCTCTGGAGCCAGACCTGCTGGGTTCAGATCCCTACTAAATGCTCTCTCTCAGTTTTCTCGTCTATAAAAGGGGCGTAATGATAGCACCTTCCTCATCAAAGCGTCCTGGTAAGGTGCGGGATGACAGAACCTCCCCTGTGAGGAGTAACGGAATGGCCGTGGCAGCGTTTAGAGGCGGACTTCGTGCATGAATGCAGTGACCAGGGGGACGGGCTGAGGTGAAAGGACCTCCTGAGACAGGCGCTGATGGGGGAAGGTCTGTAGGTAGCTTTCCTCCATCTAACTGTGTTCCGCGCCACTGCCAGGCCCTGCTGCCAGGAACCCCCGATGGGGATTAATGGCCTGGATGGCCCTGCAAGCTGGTCTCCAGGGAGCTGTGGTGTGGGCCCAATAGCAGCCTTGTCAGCGGGCGCTGGCTCCCGGGGCCCACACTCTGCTCCCTGGCAAAGCATCGCCCTCCGTGAAAGAAGCTCTTGTGGCCTTGGAAGGACCCTGAGGGAGCTTGCCAAACACACAGCTGCTGCCGCCTGTGCTGCGGTTGCTCTGCCCGGACGTCAGTTGGCTCAGATGCAGACAGAAAAAGTGCTGCGTCTGGTCCCTTCCCGTGCTCCGAAGTTGGACAGATACCCCCCACACGACATCTCGGGTGTCGGGGTTAGCCCCAGGAGAGATCCCCGCTCTGCCACTTGCTAGCTGGGTGACCATGCAGGTCATGTCAACTCTCCGAGCCTCAGTTTCCTCATCTGCAGAATGGAGCTAGTAATCGCTAGTAATGGTGGGGCCACCACTTTGTAGGCACGACTGGGGGCAGGCCAGGGCGGCAGACCCCTCCCCCATTTTGAAGGTATCAGAATGAGCTTCTGGCACATCTTGGCAAACGGAGATAGAAGCTGCGATTAGATCCAGGTTTAAATTACTCTGGGCTGAACGCCCTCTGTCAGCTTGGACCATCAGAATGTCTCCACGACCTGGCTGGGACAGGCAGGCAGGCCCCGGGTCCTGGCAATCAGGTGGGTGTGCACAGGGCCCCCCTGACACTCCAGCACAGCCACCGCCCAAGTATCGGTGGATAATTGATGGCAGGGGCTCAGGTTAGCCCCGGGACTCAACCGGGTGATTTTGACCCCCTGGGGACATCTGGCAGTATCTGGAAATGTTTTTGTCACAACTAGAGGTTGAAGGTGCTCCTGGCATCTGGTGGGTCGGGGCCAGGGATGCTGCTCAACATCTTATGATGCACAGAACGGCCCCACAACCCAGAATTGTCACCCCACATGTCAATAACGATGAGGTTAAAACAACGCTGGTGTCTGTGCCCTTCTGTGCTGCAGACAACAGCGGTACTGACAAGGAGAGCGAACATCACCGAGCACGGACTGCCCAGCTCGGTTCCAAACTCTCTTCCATGTGTTAACTTCCTCCATCCTTCGGCAATGCCATGAGGTCGGGGAGGAGCCCTGGGCCGGCGTGAAGTTCTGACCCAGGGAGTCGTGTCATTTCTCCTGCTGCCCTTTACAGCTCCATCTGCGTAACCTCAGGTTTAACTACTTTCCACTCGAGTTCCTCTTTCCTGGGGCCTGAAGCCGGTTTCAAGAGGCCCGTGATAGAAGTCTGACCGCCTGCAGAGACGAGCCTGACAACGCGGTGCCCTGTGCACTGGCCTTAGGACAGCGGAGCTGGCCCTTCAGCCACCCTTGACCTCGGACTCCCAACAGAGCCCCCCGGGGAGCCAAAGTGTGAAAGGAAGCAGCCTGGGTGTCCCGACTTTGGCTGGGGCTCCCCGAGAAGCTGAGATTCAGTCTTGAACACAAACAGATGAACCGTGCTGAGTCCTGAGCAGATTCTCCCAGTGGGGGCCGAGGAGTCCTGGCTCCTCGCTTTCGGATCTGAAGTTGGCGCTGAGCGTGTGCTCGCGCCTGGGAGGCCCTTTCTGGGTGTGAGCGGTGGCTCGTGTATCAGTCCAGACAAGACACTCCTGGGAGCTCGTGCACGAGGGTGGAGGTGCAGAGCAGCGGTTCGCAGTCCTGGCTGCACGTTGGAATCACACGGGGAGCTTTAAAAATACGGACCAACATGGAGAACGCATCAGTGGTTGCGGGGGTCCCCAGGGAGGGGGTGTGGGTACAAAATGGCAACACGAGGGCTCCTTGTGGTGATGGACGCGTTCAGTATCCCAGCGGTGGTGGCGGATGCAGACGTGTGACACAGTTGCACAGAAGTAAACACACACACACGAGTACAAATAAAACTAGGAGATCTGAACAAGGTCGGTGGGTTGCACCCGTGTCAATATCCTGGTTATTACTGTACGATCATTTTTCAAGGTGTTCCTCTTGGGGGAAGCGGATAAAGTGTACACAGGAACTCTCTGGATTATTTCTTACAACTGCTAGTCAGTCCACAATCATCTCAAAGGAGAAGGGTTCATTTGTGAAAAGTACACACACCACTGCCCCGGCCCCAGCGGTTCTGATTTCCTCGGTCTGGGGTGGAGCCTGCGCACTGGCAGGACTCTGAGGTCCCCAGGTGAGCCCAGTGGGCGGCCAGGGCTGAGAGCCGCTGTCGACTCTGGCTCCAGGGTGGACGGGGCTGGATGAGGTCTGGTCAGGCCGACCTGGGGGTGGCTGTGTCCTCCTCGCTCTGTGATCCTTGGCCACTTCCTCTGCTATTTTCCTCCCAAAGAGCAGAGAGGGGTCTAGACTCGACTCTGTGGGGCCACCGGTGACCCCCGGGGCACACGCATCTCCAGAGCAGTCTCTCCAGGTTGGCACAGTGGGAGGAGGGTTGAGGAGCGTGGCTTAGACCAGGCCTGACTCCTGCGCCAGCCTGTAAAACAGGCCCTTCTGGGCCAGCAGCTGGGCTGGGCTGCCACTCTCTGCCACCTGCCCGTTGTCCATGACCAGCACCCTGCAGGGGAGAGAGACCCGGGCAGCAATTTGGACGCCAGCCCAAGCACTGGGCCACTCTGAGAGCCCAGCGTGTCTGCTCTGGGGGGGTCCAGCCTTCCTGCAGTTTCCTGACACTGCCAGCCAGGTAGGTGGAAGCCTCTGCTGGACAGGTGCCCCTGGGCTCGTCCCTTCCCCCTGGGCGTCAGTCTTGCCACCTGTACAAGGGGCACTTGACAATCTGTTCCACGGCCCTTGCAGCTCTGAACCCTGCCGCCTCCCTCCCCCGCTGCAGGGGTGCCCCGGGGGCCCGGCTGCGTGAGGTGGGCTGACCTGGCGCAGTCCATGACCGAGCGCAGGCGGTGGGCGACGAGCAGCACCGTGCACTGGGCAAACCAGCTCCCCAGGGCCGCCTGCATCTGGAGCTCCGTCCCTGGGTCCACGGCGGCCGTGGCCTCGTCCAGAATGAGGATCTGGGTTTTCCGGAGAAGGGCGCGCACCAGACACAGGAGCTGTTTCTGGCCCACACTGGGGATAAGACAGACAGAGGAATAAGAGGGTGTGAGTCTGCATGTCCCCGCACATGGGGTCCTCGGTCTACAGAGCTGGTAGGAATTCCCATCCTGCCATTTTCCAGCCAAGTGACTTTAGGCTGTGCCTCAGTTTCCCCATCTGTGCCATGGCTATTTCCATGTCAATTCTCTGGTCTTTGCCATGTGCCAGGCACATCCTCAGGGCTGTGTAGACATTGACTCGATTCTCATCAAGACCACAACAGTAGGTACGTTCATGAGTCCTTCCTCACTGGGGTGTGAGGACAAGAGAAGTCATATCAAAGTGGTCAGGGGTGCCCGTCACAGAGGAAGCCCTGGGCATGCAGAAAGGTTTACTCCAACCAACAGACGAGGAAGGAAGGCGCAAGGTCACGCGGCCGGTGAGACCCCAGAGCCTGGAGACCCAAGGGCGTCTGGGGCTGTTTCCTGCCACACTCAGCTTCCTCTCACAGTAAGCCCCATAGAGAACCAGAACCCACGATGGCCGTGCAGGGGTCAGGCTCCTGGGCCTTGCTCCAGCCTCACCCCTTAGGGGCTGGGCAGCCCTGGGCAAGCCTTACGCCTCAGATTCCAACTCTGTCAGATGGGGTTAGTGAGGGTACAGCTTTGAGGATTAAAATAAGTATTTCTTGTTTCTTATATGCCAGGCATTGTTTCAACAACTTGACGCGTCGAACTCACTCAATCCTCGCACAGGCAGGGAGCTACTATTACTCCCATTTTACAGATGAGGAAACTGAGGCAGAGGAGATTAATAACCTGCTCAAGGTCCTATAACTGGTAAGTGGCGCAGCCTGGATGTGAAGCTTGTCTATGCTTTTAGCCGCCGAGCTACACCACCTCTCTAAGTCCGTGGAAACCTTCCCACCCTCACACTCTCACTTGAACACTCTTGAGGGCACACGGGGTGTAGGGTCCAGAATGTCTTGATTTTTTAAAAGTCATACACCTGTACAACAAGGTTCACAGCAGCACTATTCACAGTAGCCAAAGGGTAGAAATAACCCAAGTGTCCATCAATGGATGGGGAAAGTGTGGTCCATCCGTACCATGGAATGTTATTCAGCCTTAAAAAGGGAGGGAATTTGGACACCTGCTACAGCGTGATGAACCTTGAGGACATTTTGCTAAGTGAAAGAAGCCAGTCACAAAAGGACAAACACTGTGTGGTTCCATTTACGTGAAATACCTAGAGTCGTCAAACTCAGAGAAACAGCAAGTAGAATTGTGGTACCCAGGGGCTGGGGGGAGGGGAAGCAGAGAAGCGTTGTTTGAATGGGGCATAGTCTCAGTTCTGCAAGATGAAAAAGTTCGGGAATTGGTTGCACAACAATGGGAATGTACTTAGTGCTCCTGAACTGTACACTTACGAATGGTTAAGACACTGATTTTTATGTGTATTTTATCACAATTACAAATTTCTTAAAAAAGCATACACCATATGCTACTTGACACCTCCAGGGAGCATGGGGTTGGATAAAAAGATGGGCAGATGGATGGAAGGAAGGATGAGGGATGGATAGGATGGAGTGGAAGAAAGCATGAGAGATGGATGGAAGGGGGTTAGTGCCCAATATCAAACACAATATTTTTGTAGCAAAATAAATACTGAGGGGGATAAAGAAAGACTCTAAGTATCCTCGTGTCAGTTGAGGTTGGGTTTTGCCACCAAATAAATTTAGAAACTGAATTTAGGAAAAAGAAACTTGGTATTCAGAGACTGTGCTGGAGTTTGAAATTACTGATAAGGCCCGGGACTCAGATGGGATTATGAATAGAATGGGGTCAATAATCCTATGGGGGAGGCAGACGACCCTGGGGGGAGCCTTGGCCACACTCGCCTCTCCCCAGAGCACCCCCAGGTCCTGGCTGTGCTGGGGCGACCCTACCTCAGGTCGTCGCCTTGGTCCGCACACTCGTACTGCAGCTGGCCGGGCAGGCTGGCCACCAAGGCTCGGAGCTGCACCGTCTCCAAGGTGGCCCAGATGGCTTCGTCTGTGTGCTCGTGCAGCATGTCGAGGTTCATCCGCAGAGAGCCGGGGAACAGGATGGGGTCCTGGCCGGGAGGGGCAGTGGGTCAGAGCCGGGCTCAGCCACGCCTCCCACCTCTGCCCCCCCCCCCCGGGGTCCCCCTGGCCTCACCTGGGGGATGATGGTGATCTTGGACCTCAGTGTGTGCAGCCCCACGCAGGTGATGGGGACCCCGTCGATCCAGACCCCGCCCTCAGCTGCCTCCACCAGCCGCAGCAGGCCCCCAGCCAGGGAGGACTTTCCAGCCCCTGTCCTGCCAACGATGCCCACCTGCCAGGGGAGAAGAGGGCAGGGCCATTCTGACCAGGCCAGGCCCGAAGAAGGCAGGCCGGCCACAGCCTAGAGGGTTCCTAGGCATCAACTTGTGAGATGTTTCCCCTTCACCCAAGAACCATCCGTCCATCCATCATCCTTTGAGCATCCATCCTTCCACCTGTTCATCTTTCCGTGTATCCATCCAACCTTCTGTCTGTATGTTCTGCTCTGTCTTCTCCTCATCCTGATGCATCTCTCCCATCTTTCCATCAATTCCCCTACCCTTCCTTCTGTTCCTCCATCCTTCATTCTTCCCCCATCCTTCCAGCCACACCCCCCATCATCCCTCATCCTTCCTTCCATTCATACCCCCATCCTTCCATCTGCCCCCATCCTTCCTTCCACCCATCCTCCCAATCACACTCCTATCCTTCCATCCACCTCTCATCCTTCCACCCCTCCCTCATCCTTCCATCCATCTGCCCATCTTTTTATCCATGCCCATCCTTCCCCAGTCTTTACTGTTGCATTCTCAATGTCTGACACGTGGTGGGGGGCGTATGACAGGCACTGTTTACGCACCAGGAATACAGAATTTAAAAAGCCCCTGTTCCCCAGGGCTCACTCGTCTGGTCTTGGGAATACTGCAACTAAGTAAACTGAATTTTAACCCAGTGTGAGGAGCAGCACTCTGTAATCAACCTCCAGACCTGTAGCAATGGAGGTGAGCAAGGAGGTACTGTTCTTGCTGCCTGGGATGGGGGGGGGGGGGCTGATGGGGTAATCCAAATCCAAGAAGGCTTCATGGAGGAGGGGATACTTGAGAGGAATCTTGAAGGATGAGTAGGAGTTCGGGGAGGGGGGAGATTCCAGGTAAACCACACCAAGTGCCAGCCTGTACGGTCCCTGAGGGGAGACCATGTGGCCCCCTGGCCCAGAGGCAGCTGCCCCACGATGTTGGCTAGCCCTGGCCGGGCGACAAGTGAAGTAGAGAGCTGGGCAGGGCATTGGCTGGGAGCAGGTGGATGGTCTCGAGCAGGGGAATGACGTGCTTAAATAAAGATCACAGGAGAACAGATCGGAGGTGGTGACGCGGGAGGCTGGGGGCTCAGGCGGGGGCCTGGAGCAGCCTAGGGGAGGGCGGGCAGGAAGTGTCACTGGGTGGGGAGGGAGAGGAAGCACTCAACGAAAAGGCCCGACCCAGGCATCTGTGAAACTGTAAAGGCTAAACCCGGCACCTACCTCCTAGGGTTGTCCTCAGAGTAAAAATGCAAATGATAATGAACGAAAGCATTGGTAAACATTTCTGCCGCGCCTGCTCTGTGCCAGGCACTCTTCCAGGCACTTTATGTGTATTAACTCAGTTAAACTTCACAACACCTCTAGGAGGCTGGCATTATTAGTCCCATTTTACAGCTGGGAAAACTGAGCCCAAGACATGAGTTGACTGGCCCAAGGTCACTCATGGTAGAGTGAGGAACTGAGCCCACGCACACTGGATGATGCCTGTGGAGCACTTAGCACTCTGCCTGGTACACAGTAGGTGTTCAACTAATGCTAGAGAAAGGAGAAGGAAGGAAGTCGGGGAGACACCCTCTCAGCTGGGACACCGAGGTGGGTGGGCAGGTGGGTTTCACGAAGATGGAGCAGGTTTGGGGAAGATGCCAAGTTCAGTTTAGGGTGTGGTGGGTTTGAAGACTGGGGCACCTGAGGTGGGGACGTGAAGGAGGCAGCTGGCCCTCAGGGCCTGGACCCTGGGGTGATGCCCAGCCTGGTGTGGACCTGATGTCTCTCCGGCCCCCCTGTGGCCTGGCCTCCAAGAGGAGGATGTTGTGGGCGAGCCACTCACCTTCTCTCCCGCGTGGATCTTGAAGGACACGCCCCGCACGGCCAGCGGGAGCTCAGGTCGATGTCTCAGCCCAAAGTTCTGGAACTCGATCTGTCCGCCGTGAGGCCAGGGTGGCCGGGTGGTGCAGGACGGCAGCCTCCAGGGGGCCTGGGGCGGGAGGGGACACTGGGTCACAGCTGCCTTCCTCCCGGGCTCCTCACAAAGGAGCCCCCCCTCTCTGAGCCTCAGTTTCCTCTTCTGTAAAATGGGCATATTTCCTGCTATTTTTCTGGGGTTGTTATGGGATTAAATGAGAGAGGGCACAGAACATAGCAAGGCTAAAAACAAATAATATCCAGTATTGTGAAAATAATGATGGTGCTGGCTACTCTTGACATCTATTATTTTTTATTATATTAATATATAACAATTTATATTGCATTCAGATTAATAATTATATATCTATTATTATTATGAGCCACTGTTAATTGTCAAATAATATCCTCTCTTCCTCTAGTAGGAGCAGACACTCTGCTTTGTCTTGGGGAAGAGGTGACGACGGTGCAGTGGGGAGACCAATGCGGCCATTCGCTATTCCTGTGACCTTGAACAGGTCACCCCACGCCCTTGAGCCTTGGTTTCCCCATCTGTGAAGTGGGGCTAATAAGAGCAGTGGACACGTTTTGAGAGTTACTGCGTGCCAGACGGTGGTACGACGTCCCTTATGGCGGCTCTCATATGGCCCTCCCAGGAGGCCCAGCGCTGTTACGTTCTGCTATGTTGCTCTTCTGTCCCTGTGATGCTGCTGTCATGTTTCTGTAATGTTGCTATCATGTTACTATTACGTTGCCATTGCATTACTGTGACTCATGGTCACCTGTCACTCAGAGAGTGACCTGCTTTGCCCAAGCTAGGAAGCCAAGGAACCGGATTTGACCTGGCTCCAGACCCCAGGCTCTTAATCCTGACTGCCTCCCGCCTGTGACTCCTGCCGACAGTGGTGGGGGCTCCAAAGTCCGCAGCAGATGTCGACCTGGGTCCACCGCCCTCATCTCCCACCCATCACCTCCTTGGGCGTCCGGACGTAGTCCTTCATGCGCTCCACCGACACGATGCTGTTCTCCAGGTCTGTCCAGCTTCGAACAGCCCACTGCAGCGTCTGGGTCACCTGGGGGGGAGAAGACACCTCCGGCTGCTTCAGCAAGACCACCCCACAGGCTTGCATCAGTGCCCTTAGGCAGGGGCCGGGAGGCAGGACCAGAGAGGGGGGTGTGGCCCTCCCAAACACCCAGCAGGACCCAGGCCAGCTGACTGCCATCTGAGCACTTTCCCAAGGGGCTGGGCCTCCAGCGACTGCGCATCACACCTGGAGCATCACCAGCCTCCTCGCCAGGACCCACGTGCCCTGCCTCCTCCAGTCTCCCCACCTCATTTCCCTCCACTCTCACCCTCGCCCACAATCTCCAGCCACGCCACCTTCCTGTTCCTCTAACACACCGGAAGAGCTCCCGGCTTCCCCTCCTTGCCTCCCTCACTTGCTTCAGGCCGCAGCTCACGAGCCCATCCTCGGAGAGGCCTTCCCCATCACGCACCATCCTCCCACCCGGCATTAATCATCCTCAAGCTTAGCTGCCTGGGCCGTAAAACGGGGACAGTCATAGCACCCCTGATGGGGTTGTGGGCAGGATTACGAGTTAATATTCGTGAAGCTCTGACGACAACGCCTCCTTCCTCGTGACTGCTACTTACATACTTTTTTCTCTATAGATGTCATGACCTGACATTAAACATCGTTATCTATAGTTAACAAAAAGTTAACACAGTGCTGGAAAGGTCCTCTGTGCGCTCCATCTCGCTAGTCTTTCCAGCGTCCGGAGGGACGGGATTACTGCCCCGATTTTCAGATGGGCACGCGGAGGCTCCGAGAGGAAGGACTCCGGCCCGGGTCCAGCCTCGGCTCTTGGGGAGCCACACTGGTCATTTGGACTCGAGTCCTTGCAGGTCCCACTGGCAGGGGTCTGTGGGCCTCCATCCTGCCCGCGCCCAAGAGCCCAGTTGGGGTGTCGGGAGTACCTGGAGGGCGCTGGAGACAGAGAAGCCCACGAGGCCGGCGCTGAGATGGCCCTTGCTCAGCACAGCGCACGTGGCGGCCGCAAACACGAGCCCGTTGCCCAGGAGCTCCATGTTGGCAGCGAGCCACCTGCGAGGGGAGGCAGGTAACAGCGGGGTCGGCGAGGGGCCTCATCCACGGGACCCACTTCTCTGGGCACAAGGACTGGCCAACGTGCCGGCTTCAGTACCCACGGGGGACCTGGCGATGGTCTCCTCCACCCTCAGGCCCCACCCAACAGTGGGTGGGGGAGATTGGCGCTGTCCTGCCTCACTGGTCGCAGCTCAGGGCCCGGGACATGCGAGATGCTCAAGCAAAGCTTTGCTGCGCTGCAACCTCTCTGTCCCTGGGAGATGCCAGGCCATGTCTCCTTGTGTTCTCCCTGCCTGAACCCGACCTCCATCTTCACGCAGCCAACATCTCATCTTCATGCACAAGTCAGCTTAAACCTCACCTCCTCAGAGAGCCTTCCCAGACTGCTCCTCCTTCCTCTCTAATGCATCCCTGAGAACTTCCTTCACGGCAGCTCTCCCTGTCGATAACTAAACCATTTCATCGGTCACTGACTAGCAGGCTCCATCGGTAGATCGTGAGCTTCCTGAGGGCGGAGACTTTGTCTCGTTCACGACTCTGTCTCCAGCACCCAGCAAGGGACCCAGCACATAGCAGGTGCTCAACATATATATATGGGACGGATGGATGAATGCACGCCCCTTTTATGGAATTCCCACTCCACCATGCATTCATTCATTCATTCAACATACATGAAGCACCTACTGTGTGTCTCGCATGTTGGAGGTGCTGGGGACACAGCCAGGAAGCAAACAGATAAAAATGCCTGTCTTCAGGGAGCTTTAGGCTGTACTACCCATGACATCTAGTCCTCCTGACAACCCCAACAATGCGGGTGGTGTTGTCCCCGCCTGGCGGATGAGGACACAGGCTCAGAAGGGGTAGGTCCTCGCCTAGGTCCATCCACGTGACAAACAGTGATCTGAAGCCACCTCTGCCTGACTGATTCCAGAAAGCACAGACCCTTTCCAACAGGCCGTGCTTTTCAGTGAACCAACTAACAAGTGAATTACAAACTCAGACCCGCCCCCATGAGGGTCTGCCACTTCCTGGACGGCTGACCTGGGGAGAGTCCCTTCCTTCTCTGAATGCCAGCTTACCCATCTGTAGAATGAAGTCACACCTGGCTCATGATGGTTGAGAGGATTAATGACATACACCATAGAGAGCATGGACATCACTGAGCCTTGCATGTAGTAGCTATTTTCTTTTTTTTTTTTTTGGTGAGGAAGATTGGCCCTGCACTAACATCTGTTGCCAATCTTCCTCTTTTTGCTTGAGGAAGAGTGTCGCTGAGCTAACATCTTTATTTTCTGTGTGGGATGCCGCCACAGCGTGGCCTGATGAGCGGTATGTAGGTCCTCGCCCAGGAACCCCAGGCCACCAAAGTGGAGCACATGAACTTAACCACCATGCCACCGGGCCGGGCCCAGTAGCTGCTTTCTAAATGTTCAGAAGGCCCCTCCTCCCCAGGCCAGGACCCCAGGAAGGGGCAGAGTGGGTCATCCAGAAGGCATATAGAATTGAGACACTGCCCTGACAGCCCCAGCTGGCCAGGGACCTGGGCAGATGGAGAAAAGTATTCACATTTGTGGAGTACCTATTGTGTACATGGACCCTCTCCACACACTGGAACCAGGCTGCCTGGACTCAAATCCTGACTCCACTGTGTATTTGCTGTGTGGCCTTGGGCAGGTTCCTAAATCTCTCTGTGCCTAAGATTCATCGTCTAAAAACAGTCTCTGCCTGTGGGATTGTTAATAGGATTAAATAAATTCATTCATGTAGAGTGCTCAGAACTGTGCTGGGCCTGTAGTAAGCATGTTACAGTAATAGCTATGAGTGTATCTATTCAATCCTTACAGCCACTCCATGAGCACAATCCCAGTTTGGCTGATGAGGTTCAGAGAGGTTAGGTAACTTGCCTAAGATCGCCCAGCTGCAGACTTGCAGAACTGGTCTTTGAACCTATGTCTATCTGAGCTCAGAGCTTATGTTCTTGTTCTCGCTTAGTACTGCAGGCTGAGGATGCTTATGTAGCTGCTTGTCACCAAGGCAACAGAGGCGGGCCCAGTGGCCTGGCAACAGAGGCTGCGTCCCTTTTGCTGACATCTGTGCCTCCTGCCCACCTGCGGTTGGGGAGCCCTCAGGCCAGTTTCCACCTGCGCACGGTGTGAGCCAAACGCACCTGTGGGATCTAGCCTCAGTTTCATCCCTGACTTGCTGTGTGACCTTGGCCAGGCCGTTTGACCTCTCTGGCCACACAGTATGTCCTTAGGGCTCACTCTCTGGGGACACAGACGCGTTACAGGCTCTTCTCTGCCCCCTTCCTACCTGTCTGCCACCAGCTGCGGGAAACTGACCCTCTGGGTCTCATCCACGTGTGCGTCGTTCTGAGCCACAAAGGGGCCCTGGGCCCGGAAGGCCCTGACCACCGCGCTGCCCTGGAACGTCTCGGCCACGTGGGAACACACGAACGCATGCCTGGTCGTCTCCAGGCGTCTGAGCTGGCACGAGGTGGCCACGTACAGGCTCTGGGGTGGGACAGATGGGGAGGGAGAAGGCACAGACACAGAGAGGTGGTTTGAGGAGCACAGGGAGCCGCAAGTACAGGGTCATGGATCAGGCTCTATTTCCAGCTTGCTGTGTGACCTCAGGCCAGTTGCTTCCCCTCTCTGGGCTCCAACTTCCTTGCAGAATCAGAATTCCATGGTTCTTTTTAAAATCACCTGGGATGCTTCAAAAACCTCCAATGCCCCCACCCTACAACTATTGAACCCGAATCCTTGGTGGTGTCATTTGGACCTTGGTATTTTTAAAGAGCCTGATTCTAATGGACTGTCAGGATTGAGAAACCACTAGTGAAGTGTGAAGTTCTCATTCCCAGCTCTAAGGCCGCCTGTTTCACTTATGGCCAGTCACTGCGGGAACAAAACCCTCAGGGGCAAGGACAGCCGTTGGCCGAGTCGAGTCTGTTCATTTCACGCGAGGGTTCCATGCCACGTGCTGGGAACACAGTGATGCACAGATAATATGTGTTGCTATTTGGTTTGAGGTTGCAGACTGTGTGTACTGGCGGCCAGAGAGGAACTCATGTTTGTGAACGCCCGGGCTGTGTGCCACGCTGTTGACAAATAGGATCTGAGTAATTGTGAGGTGGACCTTAGTGTCCGTCGCGGTTGACAGGACACCTGAGGCTCAGAGGGATGAAGCCGCTGGTTCAGGCCTCTGCAGACACCAAGCGGCGGGGCCTGGATTCAAACCCACTTCTGCCTGACTCCCAGGCTTTCGGTGGAGCAGTCCCTCCCCCAAGTCAAGAGGACAGAGAGAAGACCTGGGCTGGTGGTGGGGGCCAGCGGGGGCCATGGTTTTTGTCTGACCACCATGTTTTTTCTACTTCTGATTTCCGGGAGCCGGGGCAGGGGGGGTGCTGTCAATCATGGGACCTGACCGTGGGGGTGGTGGCACCACACAGCCCCGCCAATCAGAGTAAGCGATTCCTCTGGTCACAGTAATTAGCTCAGGGGTGAACGCAAGGCTCATCAAGGGCCCATCAGCATCTTCCCTGGGACTGATATACGAATGCTGAGCTGCAGGCAAGCTTTCTTTGTGCGGGGGTTGCTAAGGTGCGATGCCGTGAGGGCCCCCTGGAAAGAGAGTGTGTGCAAAATTAGGCCAAGCCAAGCTGAGCCAGTGTTCCTCAAACAGCATGCATCAGAGTTACCTGGAGGGTTCGATTAAACCCAGATTTCTGGGCCCCCCTCCATAGCGTCTGAGTCAGCAGGTCTTGGGCGGGGCCCTGAGAATGTGCATTTCTAACTAGCCCCCAGTGATGCTGATGCTGCTGGTCGGGGACCACACTCCGAGAACCCCTGAGTGAAGAGATGGAGCGAGTGACCAGGGCCCGGTGACAGCTGGCCCACTGCACCCTGGGAGCGTAGGCCGTGAAACTCTGTTCTTTTGTTTCAGCTCATGTAAGCTGGTCCCTGCCTCTGGCGACAGAAAGAGTCTAGCCTAACATAACAGTCTTTGAGAGTTTGCACTGCCTTCTTGGCTTCCAGATAATTGGAGAAAGATGAGGAAGCTGATTTCGGCAGCCGCAGGATAAAACGTCAGATATTAAGAACTTGGCTGTGAACACTGGGGACACAGAGATGAGCACAGGTGCTAGACTGTGGTGTCTCCGCCTCTTATACTGTCCTGCCCAGAGACAGGGGACCGGCTGAGATGACCTCCGCTGGCCCCAGGAGCCGCCCCAACCTCTCCGTACCTGAAACCCGGCGTAGAGGAGCAGCAGGGGCAGGAGGACCAGGACAGCCGCCGGTGTCGCTACCGTCACCACCAGGCTGACCTCCAGGAGTCCAAAGGCGTAGACCAGCAAGGACCGGAATTTGTCTGGGATGTCCACATCCACTATGTCTGTCTCCTTGGAGAAGCGGGCCAGCAGGTTCCCCACGGGCGTCTGCTCAAAGAAGCTGATGGGTGACCGCGCCACGTCCCACAGGAGCCTCTGGAAGAGCAGCCTGGATGCCCGGATGCCCCCCAGGAGCACTGTGGCCATGGAGGCAAACAGCCCGATGGCTGGGCAGAGAGAGAGGGTCAGAGCGTGAGGGCTGGGGAGCCTCCTGTGGGGTCTTGGGCAGGTCCCCACCACCGCCCTGTGGTGCCCTCTTATGATCTGGCCACCCTGACTATCCCTTGATGGCATCACCCTGGAGTGTCCCCTCCCCAGTTCACGTCCACCCAGGATCTCAGAACGTGACCTTATTTGAAAATAGTGTCTTTGCAGACGTTATTAGTTAAAGATCTTGAGACAAGATCATCTTGGATTCAGGGTGGGTCCTAGATCCAATGACTTGAGTCTTTATCAGAGGAAGAGACACACAGAGATGCAGAGAAGGAGGTGATGTGAAGATGGAGGCAGAGACTGGCATGATGCACCACAAGCCAAGGATGCTGAGGACCCCCAGCCACCACGAGAAGCCAGGAGAGGGGCCCTCAGGAGGAACCCTTCCTGCTGACACCCTGATTTCGGACTTCCGGCTTCAGAACTGTGGAAGAATAAATTTCTCTCCAGCTACCTGGTTTGTGGTAATCTGTTTTCTGGCAGCCCTCGGAAACTAAGATACCTCCTTCCTCCCCATGCCAACCTAGGTGCTTGGAATAGGGCTAACTTCACTACCTGGCTCCAGGTGGGGCAAATTTCATCCCTGGCCAGTCCAAACCACTGTGACTGGTTCAGGGATGAACACATGACCCAAGTTGGGCCAATGAGAGAGACTAGGACTTTGCTAGAACTTTTGGAAAAGACATGCTCTGTTTTTTGAGGTGGTCAAGCTGGAGCTGTGGGATACCATCTAACCACTGGGGGAGAAGCCTGCCTGGATAGGAAGCTATCACAGAGGGAGAAAATGAAGCCATTCTGACAGCCACAGTTGGACCCCTGGATCCAGCCATACCTGAAGCCAGTTACTAATGGATTCCAGTCTCATAAGCTAATAAATTCAGTTGTTGCTTAAACTAGTTTGAGCCATATAGTTATATACTTAGCATGCTATAGCTATGTAGTTAGTAGCTATGTTAATTTCAGATAGAGCAGCCTTCACAGTAAGAAAAATTGTCAGGGGTAAGGAGGGGCATTACAGAAAAGCAGTAAGGACATGGTTTAACACAACGCCATCAATCGACTGGATATAATGGACATCAATAGACAACTTCATCCAAAAACAGCAGCAGAATATAAATTCTTTTCAAACTCACATGGGACATTCACCAAGATAGACCACATTCTGGGCCATAAATCCTACCTTAACAAACTTAAAAAAGCAGAAACCATAAAATGTCTATTCTCAGACCACAATGGAATTGAACTAGAAAGACAGCTGGAAAATCCCCAAAATACTTGAAGATTAAATAACATGTTTCTAAGTAACTCATGGGTCAAAGAAGAAATCTCAAGATAAATTTAAAAACAGTTTGAACTAAATGAAAATAAAAACACAACTTATCAAAATTTATGGAAAGCCGTCAAAGCAGGGCTTAGAGGAAAATGTATATCATTGAATGCATACATTAGAAAAAAAGAAAGATCTAAAGTCAATCATCTAAGCTTCCACCTTAGGAAAACAGAAACAGAAGAGCAAATAAATCCAAAAAAGCAGAAGAAAAGAAACAATAACAATTAGAGTAAAAATAAATGAAATTGAAAAACAGAAAAATCAATGAAAACAAAAACTGGTTCTTTGAAAAGATCAATAAAATTGATAAACCTTTAGCCAGGCTAACTAGGAAAAAAAGAGGGGGGACACAAACTACTAATATCAGAAATAAAAGGGGGGACATCACTACAGATCATATGGATATTAAAAGGATAATAAAGCAATACTAGGAATTACTCTATGACCACAAATGTGATGACCTAGGAGAAATGAACTGATTCCTTGAAAGACACAATCTACCCAAACTCACACAAGACAACACAGATAATCCGAATGGGTCCATAAATATTAAAGAAATTGAATCAACAATTAATAACCTCCCAAAACAGAAAGTTTACTGGAGAATTCTACCAAACATTGAAGGAGAAATTATACCAATTCTCTACAATCTCTCTCAGAGGTCAGGAGCAGAGGGAATAATTCCTAACCCACTCTGTGAGGCCAGCATCACCCTAATAGCAAAACCAGGCAAAACATCACAAGAAAAGAAAACTCCAGACCAATCTCTCTCTTGAACGTAGATGCAAAAATCCTCAACAAAATATTAGTGAATTAAATCCAACAATGTATAAAAAGAATTATACACTATGAGCAAATGGGATTTATCACAGGTATGCAAGGCTGGTTCAATATTTGAACATCAATTAATGTAACCCATCACATAGACTGGCTAAAGAAGAAAAATCACATGATCGTATGCAGGAAAAGCATTTGACAAGACGCAACACCCATTCATGATTAAAAAAAAAAAAAAACTTTCAGTAAACTAGGAATAGAGGAGAATTTCCTCAACTTAGCGAAGAACGTCTACATAAAACCTATGGCTAACTTAATGGTGAGAATGATGCTCTCCCACTAAGCTCAGGAACAAGGCAAGGATGTCCCCTCACTTCTTTTCAACATCCTACTGAAAGTTGTAGCTAATGCAATAAAAATAAGAAAAGGAAATAAAAGGTATACAGAGCGGAAAGGGAGAAATGAAACGGCATTTGTTTGCACATCACATGACTGTCTATGTAGAAAATCAGAAATAACTGACAAAAAAACTCCTGAAACTAATAAGCAATTATTGCAAGGTTTTAGGATGCAAGGTTAACATGCAAACATCAATCACTTTCCGATATATCAGCAATGAACAAGTGGAATTTGAAATTAAAAAACATAATACCATTCACATTAGCACCCCTCAAAAATGAAATCCTTAGGTATAAATCTAACAAAATAAGGACAAGATCTATATGAGGAGAACGACAAAATTCTGATGAATGAAATCAAAGAACTAGATGGAGAGATATTCCATGTTCATAGACAGGAAGACGCAGTGTTGTCAAGATGTCAGTTCTTTCCCACTTGATCAACAGATTCACTGCAATCCCAATCAAAATCGCGGCAAGTTATTTTTTGGACACTGACAAACTGATTGTAAAGTTTATACAGACCCAGAATAGCCAACTCAATATAGAAGGAGAAGAACAAAGTCGGAGGAACGGCCCTACCTAAATTCAAGGCTCACTATAAAGCTACAGGAATCAAGACAGTGGGATTTGTGAAAGAACAGACAGATAGATGGATGGAACAGAATGGAGAGCCCAGAAATAGTCATCAATATAGTCAACTGATCTTTGACAAAGGAGCAAAGGCAAAATAACAGAGCAAAGAGAGTCTCTTCAATCAATGGCGCTGGAACAACTGGACGTCCACACGCAAAAAAAAAAACCAAAGAATCTAGAAACAGACCTTATAACTAAACCAAAATGGATCACAGACATAAACGTAAAACCTACGACTATAAAACTCCTAGAAGATGACGTAGGAGAAAACCCAGATGACCTTGGATACGGCGATGACTTTTCAGATGCAACAGCAAGAACACGGGGCGTAAAAGAAATAATTGATAAGACGGACTTCATTAAAATAAAAAACTTTTGCTTGGTGAAAGACGCTGTCAAGAGAATGAGAAGACAAGCCACAGACTGGGGAGACATATTTGCAAAACTTTGATATCATCTGATAAAGGACTGTGATCCAAAATATACAAAGAACTCTTAAACTCAACAATAAGAAAATAGACAACCCAACTGAAAAATGGGGCAAAGAATGTAACAGACAAAGATACAGAGATGGAAAAAAAAGGCACAGGGAAAGATGCTCCACATCACATGTCATCAGGGAAATGCAAATTAAAACAACCGTGAGATACCACTACACAACTATTAGAACGGCCAAAATCCAGAACACTGACAACACCAAAAGCCGGTGAGGACATGGAGCAACAGGAATGCTCATTCATTGCTGGCGGGAATGCAACATGGTACAGCCATGCTGTAAGACAGTGTGGTGGCGTCTTACAAAACGAAACACACATTCTTACCATACGATCCAGCGATTGCGCCCCTTGGTATTTATCCAAAGGAGCTGAAAACTTATGTCTACACAAAACCCTGCCCACATGTGTTTACAGCAGGTTTATTCATAATGGCAAACCTGGAGGCAACCAATATGACCTGCAGTAGGTGAATGGGGAAAATAAGCTGTGGTACCTCCAGGCATTGAGATATTATTCAGTGCTCGAAAGAAATGAGCAAGGAAGCCATGAGAAGACACACAGGAACCTTAAATGCATGTTAGTAAGTGAAAGACGCCAGTCTGAAAAGGCTCCAGACTGTATGACGCCAACTATGACATTCTGGAAAAGACAAAACGTGGACACAGGACAATGACCAGTGGCTTCCGGGGGTCCGAGGGGAGGGAGGATGACCAGATGGAACACAGCGGACGTTTAGGGCAGTGAAAGTATTCTGGATGATCTATAGTGGTGGATACATGTCATCATCCATTGGTCCAAACCCACAGGCTGTCCAACACCAAGAGCGAAGCCTGATGTAAGCCGTGGGCTTTAGGTGGCTAGGACGCATCAGTGCGGGTCCATCAGTCGTAACAAATGTCCCACTCTGGTGGGGGGACGTTGATAATGCGGGAGGCTGTGCACGTGTAGGGATGGAGGGGCAATGGGAAATCTCTTTACTCTCTGCTCAATTTTGCTGCAAATTAAAACAACTCTAAAAAAATGAATGTTTTTTAAAAAAGGACTAAAAGCTGTGAGGTGATGCTGGTGGCGACGTGAGGGCAGAGGTCCAGCTCGTCTGGACGTTTGGGGTCGGGGAGTGGCAGCAGCGTGGGACACTGGGGTGGGGATGCTGGCAGTCACCGGCGGTCAGGCCCTGGAGCTGCCTCTGTGTGGGGGGAGGGTCCGAGTCCACTGACCCACCCTGTCTGTCCCCACCTAAGGGCTCAGCTGCCCCAAGACCTGGGGGTCATGATTCTGTCTTTGCCGATGAGGCCGGGAGAGACTCACAGGGTTCCAGAGAAGGAGGGATGTGCTGTGTCCCCCACTCCCCTCGGCCCCACCTTAAGGATGCCAGTCCGTGCTTGGACCCAGGATGCTTGCACAGATGTTCTGGGAGGACGGGGCAAGCCAGAGATGGGAGCGGGAAGGATGGAGGCTGAGGCGGGCGGGCGAGGGTACCTTGGAGACAGCCCAGCAGCCCAAAGACCCAGCCCCGCAGGGCCGTCTGCGTCTGCCGCCCGTCCACCGTGGGGTCGTCCGCCCACAGGCTCAGCCAGTAGCCGCGGCAGAAGGAGGCCACTTGCTGGCAGAGGAAGAGGAACAGCGCGTAGAGGCAGAGTGGGGTGCCCACGGCCCGGAGGTAGGTCAGGTACATGGCGGCCTTCACCTGGAGCACACACAGGGGAGATGCAGGCGGGCAGAGAGGGCCTGGGGGCGGGGCAGGGCCAGGTGAGGCTCCCCAAACCCGCCAACGGGGAAGACGGAGCCACCAGGGAGACCTCACAGGTCCTCTCAGCCCCTCCCACCTGGGGCACCATCCCCCCTACTGGCCGCAGCTGACCTCAGGACCCCCTTCCTCTGGGGGACCCCCAGGACGCCCAGGAGCCTTCATGGCTGTGGCACTTTCCTGCTTTGGAGTGATTTATTGAACACCTACTATGGGACAGGCATGTGTCTCTACCCTCATGATAATGCCCACCTGACAGATAAGGAAACTGAGGCACAGAGAAGTTAAGCCACTTGCTTAAAGTCCGGCTCCTACTAATCTGAAGTTCTCCACACAGCTGCAGCCAGAGGGAACTTCTGAAAACATCGACCTGACCCCACCTTGCTGGCGCTGCCCTGCCATGGCTTTCTCTTGCTCTTGGAAGAAATTCCAGACTTCTAGTCCACCTCCCAGCCTACCCCCTACTCACTATCTGCCAGCCTTGTGGGATTTCTTTCTTTTCTCTGGCACCCTAAACTCCCTTCCACCTCAGAGCCTTTGCACCTGCTGTTCCCTCTGCCCAGAATGTGCTTCCCCCTGCTCCTTCCACGGCTGGTTCCTTCACATCCTTCGGGCTCAGGTCCAATGCCACCCCTGGAGCATCCTATGCAAGCAGGCCCCCAACCCTCGGTTGGTCTCCATCTCATTGCCCTTCTTTATTTCCTTTATAGCATTTATCATTATCTGATATTACTTTGCTTATTAGCCTAATTGTGTGCTGCCTGTCTCTTCCCACTAGCATGCAACCTCCATGGGGGCAGAGACTTTACCTGGCACATAATGGGGGCTCTGTAAATATTTGCTGGGTGGCGGAGTGGGTGGAAAGTTGCGTGGGATGATGGGTGGTTGGGCGAATGGAGGAATGAATGGATAGATAGATGAATAAATAAGTGGATCTGTAGGAGGGTGGGCGGATAGGTGAGCGAAAAGATGGATGGAAGGGTGGATGGATGAGTAAATAGATGGGTGGCTGGATGGATGGGTGGGTAGAAGGGTGACAGGTAGATGGATGGGTGGGTGGATGGATGGGTGGGTAGATGGATGATGGATAGATGGATGGATGGGTGGATGGATGGGTGGGTAGATGGATGATGGGTGGATGGATGGGTGGGTTGATGGATGAGTAAATAGATGGGTGAGTAGATGGATGGGTGGGTGCATAGGTAGGTAGGCGGATGGGTGAGTAGGATGGACAGGGTGGGTGGAAAAGTGGGTGGATGGATGAATGAATGAGTTGGTAGGTGGGTGGAAGGGTGGGTGGATGGGTGGACACAGTAGCATAGAAGGAAAGAAACAGTACAAGCTTCAGATTCGGACTGACCTAGATTTGAGTCCCAGGTTGGTCGCTGGTTAGCTGTGGGAACACAGACAAGTCTCTGAACTCTTGAGGACCTCAGTTTCTTCATCTCTAAGATGACGCTATCCTCATCTAATTTTAGGGTGGTTGTGAGCATTAAGAAACATGAATCGTCTAGCACCTGACTCGGCACATAGTAGGTGTTCAATAAAGGTGAGTCTCCCCCGCCCCAGTGCTGTATCTGGTGGGAGGTCTTGAGCCCCCGGGAGTGGCAGTGGCAGTGGGTGTGGAGGGGAGGGAGCATCTGGCGGTTACCCTGCCATACCGCACGCTGTCCTCTCCTGTTGGCCGTCCTGCCCCCTCAGGGGTATCTGGGGGAACCCACGTCTGGGCCTCTGAGCTGGTGCTGTCCTTCTCAGGGACTATCTTCCTGGACCTGTCATTTAGAGGTCAAATAAGCACAAATCAGTGTCTCCTTCCATGGGGTGTGTGTGCCCAAGCCTCATGGCCACTGGGAGCCACTGAGCTCTGGGGTACATTCTCCACTCATTCATTTGTTCATTCATTCAACTAACATACTGAGCGCCCAGTAGGTGCGGGGCCCACCCCCTCCCTCGGTGGCGCCCAGCTAGACGCTGTCTGTTATCTCAGAGTCGAGCACTCCTGTCCTTCCAAAGCCATTTCACGAAATGAGCTGATTCACCCAACTGTGCAACTTGGTTTTCATTTTGGCCTAAGCTTTACTGCCATTAGCCCCTGCTGTTTACCCTCAAGTTTCTTAGTCCAGCTTGGCAGGATGTTAATTTTGCACAGTTCAGACGTTGAAGACTTCTGGAATGTTCCTTTCCTCTGTGGCTGAGTGGGCCGACTTAACCCTAAATGTGAACTGCCATCTGCTAACCGTGCAATCAGGGGCAGCTGACTTACCCTCTCTGTGCCTCAGTTTCCTCAGCTGTAAAATGGGGATAATCTATGTGTGTCTGTCTATCTATCATCTATCCATCCATCAGTTATCAATCTATCACCTATCTATATATTCATTCATCTATCTCTTTTTCGCTATCTCTTTATCAATCAAATCACTTATCTATCCATCCATCAATCTATCATCTATCTACCAACCAATCTGTCATCTATCCTTCCACCAATCATTTATCTATCTATATCTATCTATCTACCAAGCAACCTATCATTTATCCATCCATCATTTATCATCCTGTCATCTATCTGGATCTATCTATCTACATTTATCTATCATCTACCCATATATTCATCTATCTATATCTATTTGTCTCTCTATCATCTATATATCCATCATCTGTCAATCAATCATCTATCAATCTATCCATCCATCATCTTTCTATCTATCTATCTATCCATCCATTTCCATCTATCTCTCTCTCTATCTCCATATCTGTCTATCTGATCTTACTTAGGGTTCTTGTGCGCTGTGAGGACGAGTGGGACAGTGCAGTGGGTGGCCCGGGAGTGCTCTGGGTGGCTAGCTGGGACGGGGAGGGGCTGTGTCCAACCTCATCTTCCCCCCAGGCACCGACACCCCTCGATGTCCCCCTGCTCTCTCCCAACAGCTGGCACTTAGGCTCACGCTGCCTGGTGCCCAGTGGTCTGTTGTTTTCTGTTTTACAAGGTCACGTTCCGAAACAAGGGAGAGCACCGTGTGGCCAGGTCCCTCTACTGCGGACAGCCCCACAGTGAGTCCAGCTGTGGCCTGGCTGGAGGGGGCTAGAGAGAAGGGGACAGGGGGCCTCCTCCGGGCGACGCCCCCCACCACATGCTCTCAGCAGCCCCAAGTGACGCCATGTGTGTAGACTCAAGCACTGTGCATGGCAATCCTGTCCAAGCGTGAATGACAGGGCCAGGCATGGTCATTAACAACTACAGAAAGGACTTTTCTTGGGACCCAGCCCTGCCCCACTGAGCAATGAGACCATCTGACAAACATTAAGGCACTCATCACATTTGAGGGCAAACTGGTCATTCTGTGAACAGGACATCTGGGGGCTTAACCAATTTGGCCATTTGATTGTCAAATAGTTGCTGGTGAATTTCCCGCAGCTGAGTCCCCTGGTGGGTATCGGGCAGGGACTGAATGCATAACAGTTTCGGCTGCCCCCTGCCTGCCTGAGATGCAGGTGACCAGTAGCCCTGCTGCAGCCTCAGCAAGGGCCCTCCCTGTGCTCAGCACCACGGCGAACTCACCTCTCTGGTCCACCCACAGGCCTCCTGCCTCCAGGGGAGCCTCTGGGATGCTCACCACCGCTCACAGGCTCTGTTTCTGCAAAGTCAAGGGTGTCTCGTCACAACGGGGGTCAGTACCTCAGGGTCGGGTTGCTGGCTTTGCCACCCACCGGCTGGAAGGCCTTAACTCATCTGAGCATCCCCTTCCTCTGATCTGCCTCCCGCAACCTCTCCCAATCCTCCCCGGGTTCTTCCAGGAACATTATTCATTCGTTCATTCACTCACTCATTCATTCATTCATTCATTCATTCAGCAAATATAATCGAGTATCTGCTATGAACTTGGGGCTGGAAAACATCAGTAAACACCGTACAAAATCAAGATGCTCCGGGTTCCCCCGACAGCCTCGCATGAGCAGTTCACTGTACCCAGAATGTTCTTTCTGGCTAACTCCCACCCCACCTCGAATGTCCTCTCCCCGAGGAAGGACCTGCCCCGTGACCACCCCCCAGGCTGGGTGGTTCCATCTCCAAGCTCCAGGGTGGCCCCCCCGCCGCCCCCGTGAATCAACACTTAGGGTTTTCGGCAGGGAGGGCCAGTGCTCGACAGACGTTTTCAGAAGGGACAAGGGGCACCCGGCCGTGAGTCCTTGCTTTGTCACAGAGGGGCCGTGTACAGGCTGGTGATGAAAACCCACGTGCTCTGGGGCCCCGTGGCTGAGGTTCAAACCCCAGCGGTGCCACTCATAAGCCACGTCACCTCGGGCCAGTTCCCTAACTTCTGGGCCTCAGTTCCTTCCTCTGTAAAATGGGGGTAATTACAGTAGTGACCTCAGGAGGTCACTGTGATAATTAAGTGAGTGAATGTACGTGAGGTGCACGGGCTGATCTTTATCATGCATGTGGGCCAGCTGGGATCGGCAACTCCGCTTCCAGGACACTGTCCTTCTTCCAGGGGGCACTGCCTTCTCTGGATGCTCAGCGGCCCTCGCTGGCATGTCGGGGCCTCCTGGCCTCTAGGCACCAAATGGCCATCTCGCTCAGTCTCTTAGCAGTTAGGAGCAGAGACTCTGGAACTGAATGCACCCAAGTTCTAATCTTGTGACCTCGGGCAAATTATTTAACTCTGTTGCCGGAGTTTGCTCATCTGTAAAATGGCAGCAATAATCATATGTGTCTCATGGGGTGTTGTGAAGATCAAAGGAAACAGTGTATGTTCATCAAAGCTCTTAGCACAGCCCCTGGCTTGTGGTCGGTGCCACTGGCTCCTATGAAGGGGATGGTGGCCTCTTGGGAGAGCCGGCCGCCTCCAGGCCTGGGCCTGCAGGGAGTGTAGCCGGAGCGCTCCACTCATGCCACTGGGACCCTCGGAGCCTTCTCTCCGTGGATGGCAGAGGCAGGCACAGAGACCCAGCAAAGCCCAGTCACTACCTCCTTCTCCTCCAGCTCCTGGGTGTCTGGCTCGATCCAGAAGACACACCAGGGCCCCCTTCCTGCGCAGAAGCTCCTGGTAGGAACCCATCTCTGCAATGGCGCCGTCTTCCAGCACCACGATCCAGTCGGCCTCGGGCAGGACGTGGAGCGCGTGGGTCACGAGGATGCGTGTCTGGGCAGGAAGGGGTGGAAGTCACACTCGTGTGCTTGACCGGTCTTCCAGAACTGGGGGAGGGGCGGGCAGGGTCCCTGGGCTCTGAGCAGGGACAGCTCCCCTTCTTGCACTTCCTGAAAACAGCATGTCCCCACAGAGTTATAGAGGGGAGCCTTCAACCTGTGTCTCGAAACCAGAAGACACAGAGGTCACCTGAAACTGGCCGATCACCGGAGGCAGAGCTGGTCATTTAACCACAGATTTGTGAGCAAGAAGTAACTGCTGTTGTGAGCCAGCGAGGTTTGGGGGTCTTTTGTTATGTAGCATTGTCACAGCAAAGCTGACTGTTACAAAGGGGAAAACCGCACTCTCGGAGGGTGGGGTGAGATGGCCTTGGGTTAGGACTGGACCAGAGGACTTTCTTGGTCTCTGCCTTGTGCTCTCTGACACATTTTCCCAAACGCACCGTCCCCTGGAGCAGCCCACTGGGCCCGATGACCTGGTCAAAGACGTGCTGGCCCACGTGGGCATCCAGGGCCGCCAGGGGGTCGTCCAGCAGGTACACAGCGGCCTTCCGGTACACGGCCCGGGCCAGGCTCAGCCGCTGCTTCTGGCCTCCAGAGAGATGCATGCCCTGTGGCCACGAGAGAGGGACAGGGACCCGAGTCTACGGCTGCTGGGTGAAGCCGGTGCGACGGGGGCCACGTCTGCCCCTCAGCGTGAAGTACAGCTCACTGCGCCTGTGCCCCGGGGCCACGTCCCAGCTGTCAACACGTGCTCTCCAGCCAACATCCCCCAGCCTCGCCCTGCTCCCTTCCAGGCAGGCTGCCTGGAGGAGGCGTCTGCATGCCCCACGTCCACTCTCTCTGCCTCCCACTCCCTGGTCCCTCCACCGGAGTTTGGCTTCTGTTCCCATTTCCCCACCAACAGCCTTCCTCAAGGACACCAGTCATTCCTCTGTTAACTGATCCAGTGGGAGGTTTTCAGTCCTTATTTTCATGCATTCATTCATTCACTCATTCCACTCCTATTCACCGCATGGCTACTATCTACCAGCAGTGTTCCAGGCTCCGGGGACAGAGCCATGACAAAACTCAGTCCCTGCTCTTGTGGATCTTTCACTTTAACATGGGGAGGGGGTCATCAATAAGCAAACAAGGGAAATACATTGCCCAGTGGAAGGTGCTATGAAGAATAAGGCAGGGGAAGGGTGGAGGGTATGCTGAGGGAGCAGGGTAGCTGTGCTGGCAAAGGCGGGCAAGGAAGGCCACTCCACTAAGGTGACATTTGAGTTGAGACCTGGCACAAGTGAGAGGTGCACCTTGTGGACTCCTGAGAAAGAGCCTGACATGCAGAGAGAACAGCAGGTGCAAAGGCCCTGTGGTGGGAGCGTGCTTGGGCGTTCAAGGAACATGGCGGAAATCCACGTGGCTGGAGTGAAGCGGGAAAGGGGGAGCATGATGGGAGATGGGCTCAGAGAGGTAACTGGGGCCTGATCGTGGGGGCCTTGTCAGTGATGGTCAGGGTTTTGGCTTTGACTCTGAGGGAAACGGGAAGACCCTGGAAGATTTGGAGCAGAGGAAGGACGTGGTCAGACCTGTGTTTGAACGGAATCCTTGTAGCTGCTGCGCTGGGATTAGCCTCTCAGGGGTGAGGACGGGAACAAGGAGGGCGGCCAAGGGCTGCTGTGGCCATTTAGGGGGCAGTTGGTGGCTGATGGGACCAGAACATTCTGGTCTGCCTCGAAGGGGGACCTGAGAGGATTTGCTGATAGATTAGATGTGGGTGTAAGAACAGAAGAATCAAGGACCACACCCAGCGTTTGGATCTGAGCTCCGGATGGATGGAGCATCCATCACGGGGACCGGGCAGGCGGCGGGCGAAGGGGGTTCCAGGGGAGCACATGTTTGGTCTAGGATGTGACACGGCTGGACAGACGGCGAGGGCAGCGGCCGCCCCCTTCCTTGTGAAACACCTTTCCCTCGGCCTCCACGAAGCCACGCCCTCCGCCCTGGAGGCTGGCACAGCCCCTGAGGGCGCACCTCCCTTTCCTGGGCCCTCTCCTCTCCCGAAACCTCCCCCATTTCCTGAACTTTGACCCCTGCATTTCTACTTGATGCCCTAATCCAGGGGTCAGCCACCTTTTTCTGTAAAGGGCCAAAGAGGAACTATCTTAAGCTTTGCAGGGCCCCGCGGTCTACGTCATAACTGCTCATCTCTGCCCTGGTGCAAAAGCAGCCGTGGGCCACCTGTAAATGACTCGGCATGGCTGTGTCCCGATAAAGCTTTATTTACAAAAACAGAGGGTGGGCCGGGTTTGACCTGCGGGTCGCAGTTTGCCGACCCTGCCTGATCTGTAGCTCCAGACGCATACATCCTGTTTATTGGGCATCTCTGCTCAAACCCTTTGGCGAGGCCCAGAGAGGGGAAGCCATTTGACCAATGTCACCCAGAAAGGCAGGGCAGGGCAGCACAGGATCTCAGGTCCCCTCACCCCGAGTTGTTAGAGAGCCCACCGTTCTCTGCCACGTCTCCGCCTTTGTGTCTATTTTCAACCATTCACTCATTAACAACTATGAGGCACCGACTGTATGCTTGGCCCTAAGCTGGGCCCTTTTTCTCCCCCATGTCCCTGTCGCCCCATCTCCCCTTTGTCCCTCCCACACAGGTCAGGGAAGCAAATGGCCCCCCACTGCAATGCCTCCCTGTCCCAAGAAGGCCCCCCAAGGCTCACCTGCTCCCCAATTTGGGTGTGGAGCCCTGCAGGGAAGCTGCCCACATCCGGCCACAGTGCGCAGGCCTCCAGGACTCTCTCCAGCCACGGCGGGTCCAGCTCCTGCCTGAAGCACACGGTCTCCACCACGGACGTGTTCTGGACCCAGGCCTCCTGGGGCACGTAAGCCACGGGACCCTAAAACATAGGTCGGTCGCTCTGGCCATTGGGAGGCCCACGAGGACGGAGGTGGGAGAGATTCTGGAGGAGGCGGGGGAATTGGGCTTTTGGTGGTGGTGGAAGGAGGGGAGGGTGAAGGGAGAGGAGCTTGGCTGGGACAGTGGGGGGGGGGGCATGGTAGCAGACAGGCAGGGGGTGCGGTCTCACCTTGATGCTCACAGACCCCTCCAGCTTTGACAGTTCCCCGAGGAGGGCAGAGAGCAGGGAGGACTTCCCTGCCCCCACGGGACCCACCACGGCCAGCAGACAGCCCTGGGGCACCGTGAGGTTTATCCTGGCGACACAGCATGGGAATGAGTCCCTGGGTAGGGCCCCGCCCGTGGCTGTGCCCCCTCAGTGTCATTTGACAATGTCTAGAGATATTTTTGGTTGTCACGACTGGGGTGGGTTGCTGCCTGACTCCAGTGGGTAGATACTGAACGTCCTGTTAAATATCCTGCAACGCACAGGACAGCCCCCCAAGGAAGAATTATCCAGCCCAAATGTCGACAGTGTCGAGGCTGAGGAACCTCGAGCTAGGCGTGTTCCTGCCTCAGGACCTTTGCACTTGCTGTTCCTACTGCCCAGAAAGCTCTTCTCTCAGACATTTGCAAGGCTCATTCCCTCCCTTCACTATAACCTGTTTAAATGCCAGGCCTTCTCTCACTATACAAGCCAGTCCCTTGACATTGTCCTTTGTCCCCTTACCCTGATTTCTCGTTTGTGCATCCCTCTCACCAGAATGTCAGCCCTAAAGATACAGAGCCCTTGTCTGTTTTCTTCCCTCTATTCCCAGTGCCTCAAGCAGACTCTGGCACATAGCAAGTACTCAATAAATACTACGATGTGGGGGGAATGACAACCAACAGAAACGCCCCAGAGTATTTTCTTTCCCTTCTTAGGGAGTTCTGGGATTGGCTGGGGTTTTCAGTCACAAAGGCCCAGCCAAAGAGTGGGGGGCTGGAGATGACAGTGACTTGGGGAGTGAGACAAGAGGGATAGGAGGGGGTGCAGCTGGCAGGGCTGGGCTTCGGGGCTCTTCTTGGCCAGGCCTGCCCTGGCATCAGCTTGGGAGCAGGGGGTGTCCCCTCCCTGATGGGGAGGCTCAGACACCCCGTTCCTCCACCCACAGCAGCTCCTGCCGTCCCAAGGCTCTGTCCGCCAGGGCCAGTCCTGGGGTGTCCCCAGTGGAAAGCAGCCCAGGCTAACCCACCCTCCAGCCCCAGGCTGGAAACCACACTGCAGGAGTTTCTGGCATCTCCCCCCATCAACGGGAAGGCCGTTCTGTACCTGTGCAGGCAGGGCGGGCCTTCCTGGGACCACGCAAAGGTGCCATCGTGCACGCGGATGCAGGTCTCTCCGGACGCTACAGGGCACAAAAGTCAGTTACTCCAGAAGCTGTTGGCCCGCCTCCTCCTCTGACAGACCCCCAGAGGCAGCAGGAAACTCCCCCACATGACATCACGGACCCTATGCTATTAATTGAGCCGCTCCTGAGAGCTGGGGACTCGCTGTCTCCTGGTGGCCCTCAGGACAATCCCGCACAGCCTCACCTGGCAGTGGCAGTGGGGAGTGGATCAGAGACCTGGATGGGAGGAGTAACCGCCTAGGGCCACCCAGCCGGGAGCGGCAGCCCGGGGATTTGAACCTAGCGCCCGGTATGGAACGCCCGGATCACACAGATTCAGTCGAACCAAGCTGTGCCCAGCTGAAAACAGGACAGAGCCTTGAGTAGCCTCAGAGACACCAATTCTGGGTTATTTAAAAGCCTCTGTGCTGACTTCTGTGGGTTTTTTTCTAATAATAGTTATAATAATAACTAAACCTCCTTGAACGCTGACTGTGCTGGGCCCTGCTCTCCGTTCGGTACTTGAACGAACTCATTTCACAACAATCCTGTGCAGAGGTGCTGGAAAGGTCATCACGCCCATTCTCCAGATGGGCACACTGAGGCTCAGGGAGATTAATAGCTTGCCAAGGTCACCAAGCTTGGGGTCGGTGGTGGGGCCAGAATTTGGACCCACGCAGCCCAACATCACAGGCTATGCTTTTAACCGCCATGCCGGTGTTTCCTCTGTAACGGTTCAGTTGATGTCACCAGCCCCGTAGGTGTATGGTTAGAAATAGATGGGCAGAGCGGGGAAGCCCAGAGAATCCGTACTTGACGGGTCTCATCATACGATGGTGCCCGTAATCTCTCCGATTTTACTTTGCCACGCTCATCTCTAGCTGGACTTTCTGCAGGAGGACAACGACCTGGTCTGTTAAAGTGTTCACTGCTGGACACCCAGAGTGGCACACAGTAGGTGCTCAGGGAGTAGTTGCTGCAGGGCGGGCAGAAACAGTAGGCGCTCAATGAGCAGTTGTTCCAGGATGGGCAGAAGGCAGCATCGCGGTGCCGGTTTCCAAGTTATACAGCGAGGGCATGCTCTGCACGTGCCGTCTGGTTGCTGGCAGCCCCCCAGCTGGGATCCTGGCTTTCCAGTGGTGGGCTGGGGGAGCCCCGCTGATCCCCAGATCCCTCCCTGACACACCCCGTCCTGCCGAACTCTGCACTCACAGCATCTGGAGGGACTTGAGTCCACGGCCTCAGCGTCAACTTCTTCCAGGCAGAGGAAGGCCGCCAGACGGTCAAAAGACACCTTCGCCTGGGGAAACCAAAGCCCAGGTTACTCGTGCCCGAAGAGCAAAAAAAGAACTGGGACTTTGCGTGTCAGGTGTCTCAAGATGCTGGGGAAAGCTTCCTGTCTAGCAAGCCCTGCTCATTTACAAGACATTAGCACAAAGCTGTCTAGGTCCCAGAAAAGGACGCACGTGGAGGTGGTGATGATGATGGTAGTGGTGATGATGGTGATGATGATGGTGGTGATAATGGTGGTGGTAAAGATGATGGTGGTGAGGATGATGGTGGTGGTGATGGTGGTGATGATGGTGGTGATGACGGTGGTGGTAAAGATGATGGTGCTGGTGATGATCCTGGTGAGGATGATGGTGGTAGTGATGGTGGTGATGATGGTGGTGGCGATGATGATGGTGATGATGGTGGTGGTGATGACGATGGTGATGGCAATAATGGTGGTGGTAAAGATGATGGTGGTGGTGAGGATGATGGTGAGGGTGATGGTGGTAGTGATGGTGGTGGTGGTGATGATGATGGTGGTGGTGATAGTGGTGGTGATAATGATGGTGGTATTGATGATGGTGGTGAGGATGATGGTGGTGATGATGGTGGTGATGATAATGATTGTGATGATGGTGGTGAGGATGATGGTGGTAGTGATGGTAGTGGTGATGGTGGTGACGATGATGATGGTGATGATGGTGGTGGTAATGATGGTGGTGGTGAGGATAATGGGATGATTGTGTTGGTGATGACGGTGGTGATGATGGTGGTGGTAATGATGGTGGTTGTAGTGATGATGGTGGTGAGGATGATGGTGGTAGTGATGGTAGTGGTGAAGACGGTGGTGGTGATGATGGTGGTAATGATGGTGGTGGTGAGGATAATGGGATGATTGTGTTGGTGATGATCGTGGTGGTAATGATGGTGGTGAGGATCGTGGTGAGGATGATGGTGGTGGTGACCTCCCACCTCCTCGCTCCTAATTAGCATAACTGGACCCATCAGGCCACCATCAGGAATGATTCCAAACTTTGTCCACCTGAGGGCACCAGCTCCACTCCCAACCCCAAACCCATCTTTGGTAACGAAAGAGGCGACCATATAAACAGGGATGGTGCAGCTAGGAACAGTGCTCTGAGTTTCATCCCACTGAGGAGGCACAGTATGAACAGAGACAGTAAAGGAAGAGAAACACAATAAAATTGCTTTGAATAAACAGGGAACCGAATGACTTCTGGCACGTGGCATTGCTGGAGCAGTGAGGCTGTGTATTCGAGGATGTTTGCTGGTGTTTTCTAGCTGCCTCCTCTGCCCCACCCGCCTCCTCTGCTGGTGGTGGGTGGACAGAGTCCGGGCACTGCCTGCCCCACTCCTGCAAGGCTCCTCCAAGACGGCTGCCCCTCGCCGCTGCCTCACCTGGACCACGCAGTGGATGGAAAAGGGCAGGAAAGCCTGGGCCTTGTTGAGGATGGTGAGCACTGTGAGGGTCACAAAAGCTTTCTCGGCGTCCATGGCATTCTCCTCGGCCACCAGAGTGTGGACAGCAAACACAACCAGCGCGACCTGGGTGAGACACGTGGGCGGTGACAATGAGCTGTGAGCGTGGCCGGGGAGGTCCAGGCACAGGGGCCCATGTGGCCAAGGCCGCCATGTTGGAATGGGTTCCCCTCCATCCAGATCTCACCCCACATTCTGCTAACCTCTAGTCCTCGTTCCTAGGGCACAAAGCTATGGAAGGCTCTCTTAAAAAACACGAGTGTGTTGACGAGGGGAGTTGTGTGTGTGGCCCTCGTTCTAGGTATCAGAAACTGTTGGTTCTGGCATGCCACACTTTTTCATCTTGGTAGCATTTTTTGTGGTTCTAGACACGGGTGGGACTTGGGGTTGTAGGATCCCGTGGGAGATGACGCTGACGTCACGGGTCTCAGTAGCACGTGAGAGTTCTGGGTATTGGTGGCATCTGTGCTTCTAGATGTCACTAGGGGGTGGTTCAGTTCTAGGTGTCGGTGATGTTCTGGTTCTAGGTGTCGCTTGGTGTCACGGTTACTCCGTGTGATAGTCACTCGGTGTGATGGTGACCCAGTGACCCTATCTGGGGAGCCCTCATGATTCTAAGTGACGGTACTTGTGGTTCTGAGTGTTAATGGAGGTGGTGGCAGCAGACGGCCTCTGGAGTTCTAAATCCTTCTGGAAACAGTGGTTTAATAAGGCCCAGTTGTTGCCAGCCCTGAATGTCTTATGAAGTTTGGATTTTTTTTTATTTTTTATTTTTTTTTTTGCTGAGGAAGATTGGCCCTGAGCTAACATCCATGCCCATTTTCCTCTACTTTATATGTGGGATGCCTACCACAGCATGGCATGCCAAGCAGTGCCATGTCCGCACCCGGGATCTGAACCAGCGAACCCCAGGCCACTGAGAAAGGGAACATGCGCACTTAACCGCTGCGCCCCTGGGCTGACCCCAAGAGTTTGGATTTTAGTCTGAGAGCGGTGGGGGGGTCATTGTAGGTTTGTTTGCAGCCACGTGACCGAAGTCGAAGCTGCACTTTACCAAGGCAATTCCAGCAGCAATTTATGAAACAGATCTGAGAAGAGTGGGACAGACACTGCATGGGGTGGGGGTCCCGTAGCCATTTGCCAGCCGGGGTCAGGTGGACCTGGGGGTTTACGTCGGCAGCTTCCTGACCCGTCACCTCCTCCCCACGCCCACAGAAGCAGAAGTTCCAGCCGCTCGGAGCTTTCAGAAGGACGACAGACCTTCTCAGCCACTTCGGGGGAGCGGTTTGATGGATGAGCTAACTCAGCAGAAAGCAAGGACCCCTGAGAGACAGCAGGATCCGGGGAGGGACGTTTCGATGCCCAGGGTGGTCTGCTAAGATCCCGGTCTCCAGGATGTGGGGGGCTCCGCCTGCCTCATTCCCGCCCAGGACTCCCTCCCGCAGTCCATGCTCTGCAGGGAGACCAGAGTGACGTCACCAGAAACGTGGACACTTGGAAGGACACCAGAGACACGGAGAAGAGGAGGCTGGATGTCCTCAAGGCGCCCAGCTCCTGGCCCCGGATGCGCAGGACTCTCTCCAGGAAGGCGCCCTCCCAGCCGTGAGACTTGACCGTCCTCACGTGCCTGAGGATGCAGCTAGTGAGCCGTGCCCGGGAGTCCTTCCGCCTCATCTGCTCTGCCTGGGACAGAGGGGAGAGGAGAGGAGAGGGCGGGGATGAGTCTGGAAATCTCCTTCCGTGCAACCGCCACACCCCACCACCAGCAAATCCTGATGATTCTGTCCCCAAACCAGGTGCCAAGCTGTGCGCCTCTCAGCATCTCTGTCCCCACAGTCCTGGCCCGAGCCACTGCCATCTCGTGCCTGGACCACTGCAGGAGGCTCCTTCCTCCGGTCCTCCTGTTTCCGCCCTCATCGCGGGTGGCGGAGACGCGACATAACGGAGGGAAGCCCCTGAAAGCAAGGGAAGACGAGAGTCCCTGAACCAGCCTGGGCATGGGGCCGTCAGGAAGGCTTCCTGGAGGTGGAGGGGACACCTGAGCTACGTCTTAAATGCTGAGGAGGTGCTGGGCCTGCGCTGAATGGTGGATGGAGGTGGGCGGGGAAGACGGAGGGGCAGCGTGACTCAGAGGAGGGTGTGGGCTGGGGCTAAGAGGGGGAGGGGCGCTGGATCACGCTGAACGTCAGCAGAGGAGTGTGGGGGCCACCGTGTGTCACCACGAGGGGCATCACTCAAGGGGCCACCGGATGGAGAATGTCTTAGAGGCCAGAGAGGAGGCTGGAGAGACAGGCTCCACGAGAGCCACCTCCCTCCCTCCCTCGCTCCCTCCTTCTTTACTCCTTGGTTCCCAGCATCCTTTGCTCTGGGAACCTTTCCGTCTAATGAGAGAGAACAAACGAAGAGCCAGGTGCACCCTACGACAGGTGACAAGTGACAGCACTCTGGAACGAAAGTGCGCAGGCAGAGGACACGCTAGGGGAGGTGGAGGGAGGGCGTGCTTGCTGTGCCCAGGGCGGCTGGCGAGGGGGCTGCCCAGGCTCAGGGAGGGCAGGGAGGGAGACGGGGGTCTGGGGCAGGGCGTTCCGGGCAAAGGGAACGGCCAGGGCAAAGGCCTCGAGTGAGCAGGGGATGGGGCCAGGAGTCCACCGCAGAGGCTTGGCTCTGACTCAGAGCGACACGCGAGCCACGGCGGTTCTGAGCAGAGAGGGACATGACCTATGTGGTTTCATAGGTGCCCACTGGCTGATGTGTGCAGGGATGGGGCCAGGGCGAGGGCAGAAGCAGGACTCAGTGAAGGGGTCGCTGAAGTGGTCCAGGTGAGAGACAGTGGGGCTCGGGGGGCTCAGGGCGACATTCTGGATGCGTTTCAAAGGTGATGTCAACCAAATTTGCCGACAGATGGGGTGTGAGAATGAGAGGCGACCGTGCTGACCCACGGTTGGTTTGTGGCCTGGACGCTGGAGAGATGGAGCTGCCATCCACAGAGATGGGGGACGTGCGGGGCACAGGTCTGAGTGATGGGAAAGGCTCCCACCACTGCTGGGCCTGGGCAAAACCAGGCCGGCTACACTTCTGCCCTCTCATCTCTGCCCACCCCGCCTCTCTCCTCCTATCTCTGCCCTCCCCATCTCTCTCCTCCCCACCTCTCCTCTTCCTACCTCTGCCCCCATCTCTCCCCTTCCCACCTCTCCCCTCCCTATCTCTCCCCTGCCTGCCTCTGCCCTCCCCACCTCTCCCCTCCTCATCCCTCCCCTCCCCACCTCTGCCCTCCCCATCTCTCCCCTCCCCACTTCTCCCCTTTCTACCTCTGCCCCCATCTCTCCCCTTACCCCTTCTCCCCTCCTCATCTCTCCCCTCCCCGCCTCTCCCCTCCCCATCTCTCCCCCCCAACTCTGCCTGCCCCATCTCTCCCTTCCTTCTCCGCGCGCCCGTCCCAGCACCTGCAGGCCGCCTTCCCAACCTCCCGCCTGGCGTGTCCCTTCTCCCGAATGTCAAACCTGATGGTGGTTCCTCTTCTTGCTGATGAAGAAGTTCAGAGGGAGGAGGCTCAGGAAGACAGCAATGGCAGTGAGGGCAGAGGGTCCTAGAAGCTGGACACAGAAGGGACAGGATGTCACAAGATGCCTCCGGGAGCCCAGCTGGAGACCCCGAGGGATCTGGTCAGTCTTGGTGAGAGGGGATCAGACTTGGGTCCTAAGCGGGGGTGTCAGAGAGTCTGAGGAAGGCAGCCACCGGGTCACAGAGACCGGGACTCACGGGGGTCCACAGAAGGAGACACCTGCTGAGGACCAAGTCCTTCTGCATCCGGGAGGGGAAGGATGCAGCTCACAGGATGTGGGCGGGGGGTGGGGGGAATATTCAACACAGGTTGTGCTTCTAGATGGCCGGGCAAGGGAGGTGTGCCTGGCCGGAATGGTGGAGCCGGACGTCTGGACTCAGGATCTGGGTTCAAATCCCAGCTCTGACACCCCCTAGTGTGGCCTCAGGCAGTTACTCACCCTCCCTAAGCGGCAGTTTCCTCCTCTGTTAAACGGAAACAGAGCTGTCCCACAGCCTATCGTGAGTGCCCGTGTCATACAATCGACGACCACCCCGGTCCTCATTTCACCCCCACGGGCTGCCAGATTTAGCAAAGAAACCTCTAGGACACCAGCCCAGGTAAATCTGGCTTTCAGATAAGTTTTTAGGGTAAGTATGTCCCATGCAATACTCCATTTATCTGAAATTCATATTTAACTGGAATCCTGTGTTTTGTCTGGCAGCCCATCCACGCCCCAGCTGTGTGACTTTCGGACAGTGTGTTCCCTCTTGGCTGTGGTTTGTCTGGAAAATCTGCAGGTGTGGGAGGGAATAAAGGATTTTTAAGTGCCTGTGACTTTTGGAGACTCCTCCTGAGGTTATTTGGGCCCATTCTCGAGACCAGCCCCACCCCTCTCCCCAGGCTGTGGGCCTCAGTTTCCCCCCTCAGCCCCTAAGAACAGTTTTCTTATCTCCTTGATAACCCAGCGAGCCAGTTTCATTTATGCAGCAAGGGCGTCTCCCAGTGGCTGGATGGAGAAGTGCCCAGAAGGCAAACGCCAGCCCATCCCAGCCAGAGTGGGGAAAATACTCAAAGAAATGTGAATCGAAGGTTAAACTCTCTGCAAAACTGGTATCCTTTAGCGAAAATTCTACAAATGCTGACTGTAGCAACCCCGAGGCCCCCTCTCCTTAACCAGGAGCTCAGGGTGACCCTCTGAGGTTAGGGACCATCTGCCAAGAGGCAGGGAACTTGATGGGTGTGTCGTCTGCAGATTCGCTCTAGTCCTGAGACTGCGGGCTTGATGCCCTGAATTTTCCAACGAGCCCTCCCTCTCTCCCTAGCAATAACAGCTACGTTTCTGGACCGCAGGTCAAGACCTGTCTGAAGCGCCTTACTGTCCTTTCTGAGTACTTAAGGCATGCCAGGCCCTAGAATACAAGGTCTCGAGTCAGAAAGGGTCCTGGCCCCGTGTCCTACAGGGTGCATGGAGGCAGGAGAGGGGCAACAACGATGATAACACGCACCAGGTGGCATTTTAGAGGCTGCCACACTGGCTCAGAATCCATAAGCCGTGGACACTCCCCCCCAGGGGCCTGCGAACCGTGGCACGTGGCCGGATCCCTCCTCCTTTTCTTGCACAGCCCGCAAGCTGTACCAAAATTACTAATGGCTTTTTGCGTTTTCAAATGGTTGAAGACAATCAAAAGGAGAAGACTATTTCAGGACGTGGGAAAGTTACGTAAAATTCAGTGTCCATAAATAGTTTTCTTGCAACACCGCCATGCCGATGGGATCAGTGTTGTCTGCGGCCGCTTTTGCACCAGAAGAGCACAGCTGAGTAGTTCTGAAAGAGATCGTGTGGTCCCCAATATCTACAACAGTTACGATCTGGTCCTTTACGGAAAAGTTATGGAGCCTGGCACTGACGCCGGGAGCAGAGATGGAATAAGATCTTCAGAGGAACTGTCCCGCCCGGGTATGTAATTAACCACACAGCAAATACTTACAAAGTCCCACTGTGTGCCACACCCATCTAAGTGCTTCACAAGTACCAGCACATTTCACACCTCAAGGCCGGCGGGGGCACCCTTGTTCATTACCATCCTCACCTCACAGATGGGGAAATGAGCCACAGGGAGGCTAAGCTACTTGTGCCAGGTTTTACAACTTGCAAGTGGTGGTAAAAGCAACGTCTGAACCCAGTCCGTCCCACTGCCAAGTCTGTGCTTTTAATTAAAAAAAAAAAAATCCTACATCACAAAGTAGATGTGAGGAAGTCAGGAAAAGCTCTGATTTTTCTTTTTTTTTTTTTGGCCACATGGCCACTTTATGCCTTTTGAAAAACTAGGTAGCAAATTCTTGCCCCTCCAGTGTTCTCTTTACCTACGTGGTAAAGAGTACCTACGTGGTACCCTGATATCACAGCCGAGAAGTGTCAGTGTCATCATCATCAGCATCATCATTTTATAGATGAGGAAAGCGAGGCCCAGCGAGGGTGAGCATCTTGCCCCAGGTCAAGCGAGGGCCATCCTTGACCAAGACTTTGCCCATCGTATCAGCGGTCAGTGCGAAGATGAAGACCAGATTCAGGAAAGACAGAGGGGGCGGAGGGAGAGAAGACTCAGCTCAAATCCGTCTCCCTCTGCCCCAGCTCACCTGCCACAGGTAGACAAAGCAGACAACGATCCAGACAAGCGGCAGCCACAGCCCGTTCAGGTAGATGACGCTCTCCGTCAGCCGCTGCACGTCCACGGACACCAGGTTCACCACGTCCCCCACCGCGCTGGCCTTTCTGGAGCCGCTGGACAGAGCCAGGACCTGGGCGGGGCAGGAGGAACGAGACCCGAGTTGGAAGGAAGGATGGGGCGTGGGGCAGGCACGGAGGTTCATGGTGTGGACTGAGCAAGAGCACAGCAACCCAGCAGGCCTGGCTCTGAGCTGGGCTGCCCTTGCTGGTATGTCCAGTTCTCTTTATCATTGGAGCCTCAGTTCACGTGTCTGTAAAGTGGGCTCGTCGAATCTCCTGAGCCAGCCTCCCAGGGCCGTTGTGAGAATCCACCGAGATGACAGATCCGTAAATACTCTGAAATCCTACAGCATGGGAGCAATAATCATTAACAACACAAAGCATAAAAACCTTGGATTCCTGACAAGAATGGTGGTCCTCTGCTGAGTGCTAACTGTGTCCCAGCCACTGGGCTAAACCCACAGGCTCATGGCTCTCTGGCATGGAGCAGGCACTGCCGTAGTTCATTCAACCCAAAACGCCGCGGAGAAAATGCTCTCTATTTTTGTATCGCTAAGGAAAAAAATCAACGCCGATTAAGTAAGACCTGCAAGACACATCTTGATTTCAGAAGCGGTGAAAAAGCAAGAAAGAAAAGTGAGACTAGAATCAATGAAATGCACCATTACCAACCCCATTTTACAGCTCAGGAAACTGAGGCACAGAGAAATTGACCAACATGCCCAAAGTCAGAGGGCTTGGAAGTGGGGCCGGCCCCGTGGCAGAGTCGTTACGTTCTTGCATTCCGCTTCGGTGGCCCAGGGTTTCGCTGGTTCGGATCCTGGGCATGGACGTGGCACTGCTCATCAGGCCATGCTGAGGTGGCATCCCACATGCCACAACTAGCAGGACCCACGACTAAAAATATGCAACTATGTACTGGAGGGCTTTGGGGAGAAGAAGAAGAAGAAGAAGAAAAGGAAGATTGGCAACAAATGTTAGCTCAGGGCCAATCTTAAAAAAAAAAAAAAAGAGGGCTTGCAAGTGGCTAGGCCAGGATTGGAATCCAGTATGACTAAGGCATGACTTGGGCCAGATGGGGTGTTAGATTGACCCCTGTGGGCATTAATGTGCCTCTCAGACACCCACCTGGTTCTCTGGCAGACCCAAATCTGCCCTGACTCTGGGGTCACAGTGGACCCCTCCCAGCCCGCGGAGTGCAAAGTTCTACTTGCAACCCTTCATCTACGACATGGACAGGGAAGGAGTATGTCAAGGCCAACAGATCAGGAGACGACTGTCATTGACAAGATAGCTCTTAAACTCACAGATCTAAGAGGAGGGGCCCTCCATGCCACAGGGGGCCACGTGGAGAAGCACCAGGGTCCGTCAGAGGTGGGGGAGGGGGGACCATGGGCAAGAGCCTGTGCTGCGGTTTTTCACAGGAAGGAAGGGTCCGGCAGGTTCAGGATCGGCCAGTGTCAATCATTTCAGCAGGCTCTGGGGCTGTGCCGGGTGGTCTGGCACCCACCCTGGGGTGATCAGGGCCCGGGACAGCGGCCTGGAGTGTGAGAGCCATAAAGGGGGCGCTTGGGGGTGTGAGCTCCGGAGTGGTGGGTTGGCGTAGGAAGGCTGTGCTCTAGGTGCGTCATCTGCTATCTCTAGGAACCGGCGGTCCCTCCAGTGTCAGCAAGGCCCCAGTTGTCAACGCACCAGATGCGGACAATAAAAAGACACGGTTAATACAGAAGCAGCCCAGAGGGTGGAACGGGGGGGTCTGACCTCATCAGAGGAAGGAGGCGTCCCTAAGGAGGGAGTGGGAAGAGCAGAGGCCTCAGGCCATCTTCCCGTCAGCCTCGACTCAAGATTTGGACTCGCGAGACTGGACAGGCCACACCCAGCTCCAGCGGCCTCCTCTGGGGACAGCAGGCAGGGCAGTGCCAGGGCTGTCCGTGTGGCCACACGCATGAGCTGTTCCCTTTGTCCCCCTCGGGGCTGGAGGGCCCTGGCTCAGATACTCCAGACCCCACAGGAGCCAACCTCTCTTACAGCAGCAGTCTCATGGGGTCGCCTCCGGGGTCCCCTGAGGGGACAAGAGTCCCTGTACAGAGGGAAGCCAAAGCTATGACTTCCCGCCAGGTGTTCACGGTTCACTAGCCGCCCAGATGCAATTTACCAGCAGGTCAGGGGGCATTTTTCCTGGGAGCCGTGTTGCCTGGTAACACAGCTGACAGTCCACCTTTATCTGATTTCCACACAGCCTGCAGGTTCACCTTTATACTCACGGGGCATGAGTGGAAGGTAACTACATGAAGAGGAGTGGAAAGGATGTCTGGGCAGTGGGAACAGCAAGTGCAAAGGCCCTGAGGTGGGAGGGTGCCTGGTGTGTTTGAGGGTGCCTGGCATGTCTGTGGCTGGAGGGCGGTGAGGAAGAGAGAAGGCATATGATGTGATGAGGTTGGGAAGATCCCAGGGTCAGATCACACAGGGCCTTATGGAAATAACCAAGGAGGTGAGAGTGTAGTGCCCATGCTATAGCAAAGTAATGAATGAGAGTGTTTTCAGGCACAGATGATACTAACAGGTCAGTGAGGTTTTCCTTCCTGGCTGCAACATTTGTATGTAAATCAGGGCAGGATGGAGCGAGGGGAAAGCCCCACGCTTACCCCCTGGGGCTCACCTTTCTGTACACCAGGCCAGTGAGGGCCGTTCGCAGCCTCATCTGCAGTACCTTGAGTCTGTACATGCACTGCTGCTCAAACAGCGTTTGCAGGCAGGCGGAGAGGAACATCAGTGCCGCCAGGAGAAAGCCCTTCCAGGCCGGGGTGTGGGGGTCGCCGATAAATTCCAGAAAAAGGCTTGCGGGAGACAGAGGGAGAAGGGACAGCTGATGAGAGAAGGCACCCAGGGTCTTCCCTTGTCCACGCCTGGCCGGGGCTGGAGGGTCGGACATTGTGGTAGCTTTTGTTTTTGTTTTTTTTTTGCAAAAAATGGCTGTGACGATTTCCCCCGCTGTCCTCGCTCACTTTCGATGTGACTTGTGGCTCCTCCAGCCAAGATGTGGAGTTTTTATCCTCCCCGGTGCCGGGCTGAAGGGCGTCCCCACAAAATTCAAATGTCAAGGTCCTAACCCCAGTGCCTCAGAGTGCCACTGTGTTTGGAGAGGGGGCCTTTGAAGATGTGATAAGGTTAAAATGGCGCCGTGAAGGTGGGACCCTAGTCCTGTCGGATTGGTGTCCTGTAAGAGGAAATTTGGGCACCCGAGAAGGCACCAGGGGTGCACGGGCACAGAGGAAAGCCCGTATGGGGACACAGAGAGCCGAGAGGGGGCTCGGAAGAAAGCCACCTTGGTCTGGGACTTGCAGCCTCCAGAACCGTGAGAAAGCACCTTTCTGTCGGTTAAGCCGCCCCGAGTCTGCACTACTTTGTTTCAGTGACCCTCGCAAACAAATACACCGCCCCTTGGATCCGGGCTGGCGGTGGAACCAGCTTCGGCCAACACAACGTGGTGGAAGTGACACCGTGCCAGCTCCGAGCCCGGGGCCTCAAGAGAAAACGCAGCTGGTGCTGTTTGTCTCCGACCCCTGTCACGCGGCCACGTGAACAAGCCAGAGCTCGCCTTTTGGAGGATAAGAGACCACGTGGAGTGGAGACAAGCTGTCCCAGCTGAGACTATCTCGGACCGGCCAGGCTCCAGCCATCTCTGCAGCTGACTGCCGATGCACGAGCGAATCCGGCCAAGAAGAGAAGGACCGCCCGGCTGAGCCTGGCCCGAATTGCTGACCCACATTCTCATAAGCAAATACATGACGTTAAGCCCTCTGCTTTCGGGATGTTTTGTTACACAGCAAACGCTAACTGATACGGCCACGTTAGAGTTCACTCATTTTCCCTCCCTGAGGTCGGCTGCTTTCTCATTGATATTTGTCCCTCCTCAGTGCCCCTTTCACCCATCCCCCAGGGCCCGGAGCGGCAGAGACCTAGGCAGAGGCAGAAAGAGGGCTGAAGGCCCCCTGGCCCTGGAAGGGCGCCATGAAGGGCCCACTGGCCTCACTTAGCAAGGCACTCAAGGCCTGAACTCACCTGAGGAGCTTGGGGACAGCGAACCTGAAGACGTCACTGATGATCAGGCTGAGGGTCCCCAGGAGGAAGGTGGGGCAGAACACCCGGCAGATGGCCCTCAGCAGGGGGCCCCTCTGGCTCCCTTCTCGCTGCAGGAAGGGCTCCGTCTCGGGGTCCTCCAGGCCACGGCCTCCTCTCCTTTGAGACTCTCCTGCCTTGGCGTGCCTTGGGGGAGAGGAGAAGCCGGCTCTGGGCCCTTGCAATAGACTAAATGTTCGTGTCCCCCCTTCCCCTGAATTCACCTTGAAACCAACCCCCAACACGACGATATTGGGGCGGGGCCTTTGGGAGGTGACTAGATCATGAGGGTGGGGCCCTCAGGAGCGGGATTAGTGTCCTTATGAAAGGGACCCCAGAGAGCTCCCTCCGCCTTCCACCACGTGGGGACACAGTGAGAAGACGGCCGCCTAAGAGCCAGGGAGCCGGCCCTCCCCAGACACCGAATCTGCTGGCGTCTTGATCTTGGACTGCCAGCCTCCAGCGCTGTGAGCAACACATTTCCGTTGTTCATAAGCGCCCCCCCGGCTGTGCCATTTTGTTATGGCAGCTGAATGGACTCGCACATCCTTTTCAGCATCCGCGGAGGTGGCCTCGGAGCCGCCGGCAGCAGGACCAGGCGTTCCAGGGGTATTTTCCCAGCAAGCGGGGTGGGTGGGCATGCAGCCGGCCTCGCTCCCTCACCTCTTCTTCCCTGTCCTCCAGAAGACCCCCTTATTATGAGACAGCCAGCCAGGGGAGGGATGGGGTGGGGCCCTAAGGCCTCACGGAGGCGATGGGAATGCACACGCATTGAGCACCTTCTGTGTACCAGGTCCCCCTTAGCGCTAAGAGCCCGGCAAGCCTAGGGCTGTTCCCATTTCACAGACGAGGACACTCAGGCTCTGAGGTGGCCGTGTCCAAAGGCACAGAGCTGAGAAGTCAGAGAACTGCCGTCTGATCCCAACTCTCAGCCTGCGGAGCCCAGGCCCTTTTTGATCCGTTCGGATGCTCCCCCTTCCTCGGTTTCCACAACTGGCCAGCCCTTAGGTGGTTCTGAACCGGTTTAGAACTCGTTTAGAATCACAGCTGATGTCTGTGGGCCTGGCACTTCCGGTCTGGATTAAACCACAGGCAGAAGCTCAGGCAGCCTTGATGCCGAAGATCGAAGATCACTGGCCTTGGTCATAACCAGGGGCCGCAGGGAGAGCCAAGGTGAGGGAGGGAGAGGAGGTGGGGGAGAGGCAGGGGGCAGGTTGGTCCTCAGCCACAGGGAGACACTGGCAGCGATGCAGCTGCTGACAACTTAGTTGCTGTGTGGCCTCGGGCAGACTGTTGCCCTCTCTGTGCCTCTGTGTCCTTTTGTATGAAAGGATGGGCCTGGTCCCACTCTCCAAGTCCCTTCCAGCTCTGACCACCTATGGGGTTATCAGCAATTTCAACGCCCCATTTACAGAGCTGGGACCCGGGCCGGGCACTGGGACCAGCCCATGACGTGTACGAGCACATCGACTCCTCCTGACCTCACTGCCCGGTGGGTATCATGGGCTCCCCATGTTACCTGGGAGTCGACTGAGGCTCTGAGAGGTGGGGACAGCTGCCCAAGGCCACACAGTGAGGACAGAGCAGAGATTCGAGCCCAGATTTCAATTCACGGTTCACACGGTGCCTCTCTGTGAGCCCCACCCCCCACCAAAAATTAAAAAAGGAAGGAGCCTTGGTGAGTGCGTGTGGCCCGACCCTCGCTGACAAGGTCAGGGCCTTGCCCTTCACCCCTGGCCCGCAGGTGTGCTGTTTGGTTTGGTGTCTCTGGAAGGTTGTGGCTTGGCCTCCCACACGGAGCTGGGCACGGCCCGGCGCTCACAGACATTTTGGTATTTGGGGTCCAAATGCCAAAAGGATGTCACCTCCTTGCAGAGGCCGTCCCCAAGCCCCGTCCACGTCGGATCCCATGGTCTAATTCACAGCTGGGCTCACACTCCTCAACTCTCTCCCTCACTTCTCTGCCTCGTTACAACTCCGGGCATGTAGACCTTTTGCTCGTATTTTCCCCAGCACCTGGTTCAGCTCCTGAGGGCAGCAGGCGCTCAATAAATGCAGATTGTGTGCCGTGTGCAAAGGGCCTAAGAGGAGCGCCTGGTGCATGATGTTATAAAGATTTGAGGAAGGAAGGAAAGAAGGAAGGGTGGAAGCTAGCAGCTTGGTTTGTGGACAGAACTTGGCCTGGGAGCCAGGAGACCGAGGTTCCGATGCCTGGTCTGTCCCCTCCCCTCGGAGCCTCAGTGTTTCCGTCTGTAAAATGGGGTGTGCAGAGGCCACTGGGAGGGCTCTTTCCAGCTGGAAGGTTTTGCCCAGTTCTGTTCCAGCTGCTCGCCCAGCCCTCTGAGTCACGGTGCTCAACCGTCAGGCTCCATAGCAAACGTCCCCCTCCCCAGCGGGTCTCAATTTCCATCAAGGAAGGTCTCGAGACCCGTGTCTTGTCTTTGGTCTCTGGACAGAAGGCCATTTAGTGCAGGACTAGCAAATGACCACAGGGTGAGGAGGGGTCTGAGTGAGTGGCCAGGGCTAAGTTGGGGGGGTGCAAAAGGGAGTGGTGGAGACTGGGGCAAGCTAAAGAACACATGGCCGGGGCCTCGGGGCAGCCACGACCCAGACCCCCTCTCCTGTTGCCGGGCGGGGATGCGACCCGGCGCTGCCACTCTGCTTTGAGAGAGACCAGAGTGCCAGATTTTTATGTGAGCTCTCTAAGATTTTCAATGTTGGCAACTTATTAAAAAAACAAAACAAAAAAGCCCCAAACCACAAGAACAACAAAACACCAAGTGGGCCAAACATATCTTGTGACTCTGACTCGGTCAGGAGGTGGTTGGCCTGTGACCTCTCGGGATGGTGTCCTCTCCCTTCCCTCCCCTTTCCAAATTGCAAAATATTTCAGAAATGATGCCAAAGCTCTCTGTGTGTGTAATCAGTCAGCTCAGAAAATGGCTGAGCCCAGATCTCGGCGTAACATGTATTTCTCACTTCCTCCTGTCTGTTGTCTACGGGGTCTCAAACTGTTCCGGAGAATATTTCTATCCACTTGCTCCCATACTGGGTGATGATCATTCTCATGCTGGCAGGGGAGGCCAGGGCTGGGAGAGAGTGGACAAGACCGCCAGGCCCTTTTGAATGAACTCTGCCCCTCAAACGTCACCTAAGAGTGGAGGGGCCGTATGGCAAGGTACGCCTGGGGCGAGAGAGAGCGGCTGTCTCGATTCATTCCCGTTACTCACTCCCTTTGGAAAATACACCCTCTTCTTTTGGGGAGCAGCCCCTCTGTGCCCCGTGTGGCTCTGAATCATGGGGCCTGGCCCCTGGCCATGGGATGGGCCCCTGAGAGGCACATGACTCAAGCCAGCCAATCAGAGGCCTTCCTTAGGATTTTCTATATGGATGCTAGGAGAGAGAGGCTTGCTCATTCGGCTGGAGGGGCTGAACTGGTATGGTATGCGACAGGCCAATACACAGCCATCAGCTGGGCTGAGACATGCAGGGAAAGAATTTGGACATCCTTCAAGTTCCTGGATCCAGCCATACCTGAGGCTAGATCGACTTTTTTAGCTACAGGGGCCAGCAGACTCTCTGTCTCTCTCCATTTCTCTCTCTTTCCAGAGATGCCCCAGAAGGCTGAGGGAGAGTGGACAGGACTAGAAAGAGCTTGAAATCCCCTGGATAACTGATATCACTTGAGCTTTTACCATTTTCGAGGAATTCCCTAAGTTCTTTCCTATAAATGAATTTTTCCATCCCCCACAAGCTAGGAGCTAGGGGCTGACAGCCTCCCCATTGGAGAGAGAAGGAAAGTGAGGCCCAGGAAACGAACGGCTCAGGTAAAGAAATAAGTGAGCAGTTGCCTGCGTGTTGAGGATGGCACCCAGCCCTCCACCACCAGGCTGTCTCCCGCCAGCCATTCCACCATCCAGCTTCCTTCTGGGGGCCTCCAGGGGCTCCCTCTTTGTCCTTCTGGGACTCGCAAAGCACTCTGGGAGGGGATGCACCTTGAGCCTGACCGGTTAATGCTCTGAGATCAGCTGGCAGGTGGGGGACAGTGGCGGGGAGCCCAGGGGAGGCTCTGGGCCTGTATTTGGGGCCGAACGGTGCGCTCTGCTGAGGAGCAGCCGGCTGAGCTCTCGCGCTCCGCACACTCACCGCCGGGCCGCGCTGCGGGTCCTCGTCCATTCTCTCTCGAGCTGGGAAACAAGTTGTCCCGAGGAGTTTTCTCTCCCAAGCGTCCAGAGGTCTCTTAGTCCCAGCGGCTTCTTGAAGCCCCTCCAGACCAGCCTGTCAAAGAGCATCATCAGGCCAGCTCCTCCTGCTGTCCACCCCTGCGGGGGGCTGGCTTGTTGGCTGTGTGACCCGGGGCAAGTCCCTTTACCTCTCTGTGCCTCTGCGGGCCCCTTGGGAAAATGAAAGCAACTGATCTAACTGCACCTGACATTTGGGGCATGTCTCAGTTTGCAAAAGATCATCTCATTTAATTCTCACGTGAGCCTGTAGATTACTATTGACCCATTTTACCGATGAGGAAGAAAACTGAGGCTCAGAGAGATGAAGTGACCTAACTCTGCGTGGCAGGGGAGATAAACCTCCCTAGGAGTCAACAGTCCAGAGTTGAAAACACTCACTGTGCAGGAAACCTGAACTCCTCCCTCAGCTTTAAATGTCCCCACTTTCCTCTTCATTCACAGCTCCAGCCACCTGGCCTCAGGACCTTTGCACATGCATGTTGCCTTGCTGAAAACTCTTTTCCTGCCACTTATTACTCATTGTTCACTTCTGGGCTTACACGTGATTTCCTTAGAAGCCCACTTTGACGACTCCCCCAATCCAGGTAGATTTCCCCATTATAAGCTCCCATACTTTCCTGAACTTTTTCTTTATAATGCTTTGCAATTAAGATTATTTACTTTTTCGGTGTGATTATTTATTGATTGTCTTTCTCCTCCGTTGAACAGTAAGCAACACAGGGGCAAAGACCTTTATTCTCCTCCTCTGTATCTCTACCTGCTGGCACAGGGCACAAGAAAATTTGTCAAAGGAAGCCACTTATCAGCTCTGTGACCTTGGGCAAGTCGCTTCGCACCAATGGACCTCAATTTTCTCACCTTAAAATGAGAGTGTTGTTTCCATACGTGGGACTGGCCTGTGCGATGACGGTAGTCGGCACATACACAAGAAATTAATTCCTGTAGATTTCCATAGCGGGAGCGTTCCCATCTTTTCGGGTCTCTGGAATCCCCCTGACGACACCGAGGAGGAGGTCTTGTGTGGAGCTGGTCTTGAGCTCCTCTCTGAGACTTTCAAGGTCCCTCCCTAACGCAGAGCATCAGTTCTCATCTAGAAATTATTAACGGCGCTTGGTTCTCACTGAAATGACTTTGGGAGGTGGACATGGCCCATGACTCTATAGATTTTCCTGATTTGGGCAGCGATAGAAAATCTCCTCTTTTTTTTTTGAGGAAGATTAGCCCTGAGCTAATATCTGCTGCCAATCCTCCTCTTTTTTTTCGCTGAGGAAGACTGGCCCTGAGCTAACATCCGTGCCCATCTTCCTCTACTTTCTATGTGGGATGCCTACCACAGCATGGCTTGCCAAGCGGGGCCATGTCCGCACCCGGGATCTGAACTGGCGAACCCCGAGCCGCCAAAGCGGAACGTGTGCGCTTAACCGCTGAGCCACCGGGCCGGCCCCCAGAAAGTTTCCTTTTAAAAAAAGTCTATTAAAGTAGTGAAAGTGAGTTGATTTAAAGAAAAAGACTTTCAATAAATAGCGTACAAGGATACCCCAACAAGGCAAGAAGCTTGAAGAGTGGTCCACAAATGCCCACGTTTGGGAAACAGAGAGCTGGGTCCTCCTGGAGCTGTTTAGGAAATGTCTACGCTCTCTCCACCCCCCCAGAGAGCATCCTGGTCTTCATTTATGTAACAACCAATTTCTACAACACTCATTAGGGGCGAGGCCCTGTGCTAAGTGCCTCACAAGCCTTATCTCATTTAATCCTCACAACCTCATGAGGTGGATGCTATTATCATCCTCATTTTACAGATGCAGAGACTGAGGCACAGAGACGGTAAGGAGCTTGCCCAAGGTCACACAGCCAGGAAGTGGTGGGGCTCGGATTCAAATCCAGGTGCTCCCGAGGTCTGACGGCAGTGTGGTCATCAGGAGAGGGCCTGGTAGGTGGGCTCGTTCTCTGTGCCTGGTGTGCTGGCCCTGGAGAGACATCCGTCTTCTCCACCAGCCTGGGAGCCCCCCGGGGAGTAAAGATGTCATCTTTTACCTCCTCACCCGCAGTGCTTAGCACATAGTAGGTGCCTATTAAATGTTGGTGGGTGACTGAAGCCGAGTAATAGATGTGATTTTATTGAGCGCCTGCTGTGTATAAGCACTAAGCACTTTATCGTGAACGAAGGTAGAGTTGTCCCCATTTCACAGAGGAGAAAACCGAGACCCTGAATGTCTGTGATAAGGCCGGCTGAGACAGAGCCAGGATTGAGACCCAGACCTCACTCCAGTGGGTGGATGGAACGGGATGCGGGGGGTGGACACATGGAATCTGAGAGGGCAGCTCTGAGGCAGGGCCTGAGAGAGCCTGGCTGACCTCGGCAGGCTCTTGGGGGAAACTCATGGGGGAAGAGCTGTGGTGACAAATAAGGGCAGCAAATGCAAGTGGGTGGGGGCACCCCCTTGGCCCCTTCTCTGCTACTTTACTTACCCAGAAACCCACCAGAACGTGGCCTTGGAGGGGAAGGAGGCCCCAGCCTCTGGACATGGATTCTGGAAAGACAAACGACGGGGGAGAGGGAAGACTTGGTCTCATGTGGCACGGCCAGGATGTCCTGGTCCAGCTTAGCCATGGTCCAAAAGTGCTCACCGAGGTGCCCTGTCCCTTGTCTACTTGGCAGAGGTGGACACTTATGGGCTTGGGGCTTCCCAGCAGGCAAGGCGAAAAGGGACTTGGCCACAGGACTGACAACACCCACAAGGCGAGAACTAACAGTTTTCCAGAACAACTGTTGTTAACGCCGAGACCAAGAAGCTCTCCCAGCCAGGACCGTGCATGACACGGAAAACAGCATCCTCAACAACGTCCCCAGTGAACGTAGTGAGGAATGAAGTGGGATCTGTGCTGAGGTTTTGCCAGCTGCTCCAGAAAGACTGCACAGATCTATGCTCTCCACCAGTAGGCACGAGGGTGCCCTTTTCACCACATCTTTGCCATCACAGCTTGTTATCCATTTTTAATTTTTTTCTGCCATTCTCATAGGAAAAAAACCCCCAAACTCTAGTTATAGTTTTACCTTGATTATTCGAGCAGCTAAGCATCTTTTCCGATGACCTCAGCCCAGCTGTCTCTTCTCAGGGAATTCTTTCCTGATTTCCCAGACTATCAGTGGACCCTGCTGTAAACTCTCACGGATAGTGAACTTCTGCAGAATTTACCCCGGTCGCAATTTCCCACGTGTTTCTGTAAATATGTGATTAATGTCTGGTTCCCTGACTTGGCTGTTAGCTGCATGAGGACAGGAACCACATCTGTTCGGTCGCCATAGATCTCAGCACTTAGCTGGGCATACAGCAGGGGCTGGCAAGCGATGGCCCCCAGGGCCGAATCCGGCCCACGGCTTGTCTCTGCAAATAAAGTTTTATTGGAACACAGCCATGCTTTTTGCTGACATGTGGTCTGTGGCTGCTATCATAACACAACCGCTGAGCTGAGTCGTTGCCACAGAGACCATACGGCCCCAGAGCCTAAGATATTTCCCATCTTGCTCTGGAGGGAAAGAGTTGGCCACCCCATGGCACAGAGCAGACAGGCGATAAGTACACTTCTTGCTGAATGACGGGATGAATGAAAAATTAAAGGCTTGTGCTCTAGGTACCCCCTATTTGGACACACACGGGGACAGACCAGAATGGAACAGGGACAAGGGGTTGGAAACACGGTGACTTACAGACTGCTGGGGGTCTTTAGGGAAGAAGGGGGGTCGATCAGCGAGGCAGGCCAGCGCAAACTGTGCCACCACCAGAGACAAGCACAGGTAGGTTGACAGGTGGCGGAAGGGGTCGCTCTGGAAGTCCTAGGGAGAGAAAGAGAAGTCCCGCTGAGTCTGGCAGGCAGACGGGGAGCCACCTGAGGCTGGGGAGGAGCGGAGGCCGGGGAGGGTGTGTAACGGGGGGAAAGGCTGAGGCTGAACAGGGTTTCTGATGGGGGCAGTGCCTAAGCAGGGGCTGGACCTGCAGGGTTTGAAAGACAGAGCCCCCGGGATTCCTGGCACCCCTGATTTACGAGCACCCGACTTACAAGCCTTCTGTCCGTACAAAGGGAGGGCCAGGTACAAACGGAGGGCCAGGGGTTTGCTCTTAGTGGGGTGACAACTGGCCACAGCCACTGGGACATGAGTTGAGGAGACACTTCACCTTTTTTCCTTGTGCCATGAAGGAAATCCTTTCTTTCTTTCTTTCTTTCTTTCTTTCTTTCTTTTTTTTTTTTTTTGAGGAAGATTAGCCCTGAGCTAACATCCATGCCCATCTTCCTCTACTGTCTATGTGGGACGCCTACCACAGCATGGCTTGCCAAGCGGTGCCATGTCCGCACCCGGGATCTGAACTGGCGAACCCAGGGCCACAGAAGCAAACGTGTGCACTTAAGCACTGCACCACCGGGCCGGCCCCAGGAAATCCTTTCTCCATTCAGCCCCTCCCCGCTAATCTCCCATCCTGCTCCCATGTGGCTGGTGTTCTCTAGTTTAAGAAGGAAACTGGTCTTATTGAGCATTTACTCTGCCCTGGGCCCACGCAGGAGTCTTTATATGCACTGTCTCATCATGTCCCTCCCCACTCTGACCCCAGCTGGGGTTTTATTGGCTCTGTTTTGCGTGTGGGGACATCGAGGCTCAGAGAAGTGGCAGCAGCTTGCTCAAGGGCACACAGGTGACCTGACCTGGTGTTATTGAACGCCTGGACCCGCTATGTCCAGGAGTTCCCACCTACGTGAGCTAATAAATCCCCTTGGACTTTTTTTTCGCTTAAGCTAGTGTGAGTTGAGTTTCTGTGGCTTAACACCAGAGCCCTAGTTTCAGATCGCAGTTCCCCTAATGGATTTTTATACTCTTCTGTTTTTCCTTTTTTTTTTTTTTTTGCGGAGAGTGGACAATTTGATCTTCCAACAACTTTATGGCACACCTTCCCCGGACTGCCATTTTTACTACTGTTTCTGTCGGAAAGTTTATTCTGAATCTGGGTGGCATGGACTCGGGTTCTGCGCTCCTGAGCTGCATGACCTCGAGGAGGTCATTCGCTTCTCTTAGCCTTACTTTCCTCGTCTTTAAAACGGGGCTGATGGAATCGACCACGGAGCGTTCTTGTGAGAATCCAATGAAGACGAGACGTAAAGTGCTGGCCGCGGGGCCCTCGCCCCTGATTGGAGCTCCAGACCATCTGCGGGCCCAATTTATTATTTCTCTGCTGGTTCCAAAGAGCTGAGTGAGAAGCCAACAGTGGGAACCCACCCTCTCATAAATCAGAGGATGGCCTGTGGATTTCCTCGTTAGTTACAAAGGTTACTTTGTAAAAGTCTGGCCTTAAACACAGAACGTGTCTCTCCACCTTCTCCTTCTAGAAGCAGGACGCAGTAACCATTTGGCTCAAGAAATGGTGATCATCAGCTTGCTGCATTTGGCATCCTGACCCGGAAGTTATGGGTGGAGGCACCACACATGCAAGTGGCCTTCCACTGGGGGCAATTTTGCAATGATTGGTAACGTCCACAGACATTTAGGGTTACCATAATGAGGGGTGCTACTGGCATCTAGTGGATAGAGGCCCGGGATGCTGGTCGATATCCTTCAATGCACAGGACAGCCCCCCCCAAAAAGAAAAGTGTGTCACGTACTGAGGTTGAGACAGCTTAGTCTAGGCTGTATATTTTTCTCGTTGCAGATAAAATGATCCATCAGGCCCCCTACCATGGAAATGCCACTTCTCAGGCTGGGAAACAGAAATGGGGTGGGTGTGCAAAATGCGTTTGTAAACACAGGTGCGTGGGAGCACGGGTGTGGGTGAGAATGAGCGGAAATGTGCATGCACGCAGAGGGAGAGTGTGCACAGGCGTGTGCTGGAGGAGGTCATCGAGAGGACTTGACCCCTGGCTGACTCTCGAGCTGGATGGGGGCAATGGGAGGCTCCTCCCCGGTCCCATCCTCAGAATGTACATTCCGCCCACTGTTCCCACACTAGGAGCCGCTTCGAGGACTCAGCCTTGAGAGGAACGTGTTGTCGAAACCGTCTGGACAGGGAACACGTGACTGAACCCCATTAAGGCATCTCTATCAACTTTTAAGATTCGAGTGGGCGGGTGTGGAGAGCCACGCGTCTTGTGGTACCCAAGACAAGCCTCGTAGGTGAGTTCCCTTCTTGTTACACCTGCCACCTCCCAATCTGGAGTGCCCCCTTCTTTCTTCCGGCTCTCCTGCCGTCCCTGTAGGGGCCGGTTTCAGACTCCACCCGGGAACTCTGAGGCTGTGAACCATCAGTGTGTCTGCACCCAGACAGCTGTGGAGGGATGTGTGAATGGATGTGCCTTGTGGGACTGTGGGCTCTTTGCACTCAAGTCACATGGGAGCTTGAGGGCATGGCCACAACTGGGTGGCAAGGAGCATGAGTGGACGTGTGCAGGTGTGCGTGTGTGTGTGTGATGTTTTGGAGTCTGTGGTTGTGTGATGCGTGAATAGGAGCATACAAGTGTGTGACTGGTGTGCAAGTAACGTGTGCAATGTGAATGTGTAAGACAAGGGGAATTTGAATCCATAAAACGGACAATGGGTACTTCTGTGTGAGGGAGCGCATTTGTGTGTTGCTAGAGTTTAAGCGGCTGTGGTGTGTGTGTCTCTGAGTAGAGAATAAGTCATGTGAGGACAGGGAGGGAGGAAGGATGGGCCCCACACTTGAAAGTGCCATATTGGTTTCCCCAGGTGGCCCAGGCCCCCCGCTTACCCCTCGCAAGGCCTGCTGGGTGGCGCTGGTAGCTGGCAAGAGAAGGCAGAGCAGCCAGTACCCAAACAGCACCCCGGATGCCTGGACTCCCTTCTTCCTGTCTGTGTGGATCAGGAACACAGCGAGGCTCTGGACAAGAGAGGCAGGATGGGTCCCTTAAGGTGGTAGGGAGGGGAGGGGAGCGGAGGAGCCGGGGAGGGAGGGAGCCCCACTCTGCCCCACACCCTTCGCCAGGGCAGGAAAAGCAGCAGCCAGGAGCAAGCCAGCAAGCTGGGGATGTCATTACCATTGTGGTGAGCCACACGGTGGGGTGGATGAGGAATTCCGGGGCCTGGGGCGTTCCCCGCTGGATTCTCCAGAGAGTCACAGACACGCTGGAGGTGCAGAGGATTATGAGGGCAAAGCCAAGCACCTGGGGAAACAGGCTTAGATAAGGCCGGTGGTGACAAGAAAGATGGTGGCCAACTGGACGGCAGCTCTGGATGGGGCGCTGTAACATACTGACGTTGTAATTTAACAGTGCCAATGTGAAAGATGCTAAAGATAAAGCAGTAAGGGGTGTTGCCGATGCATCCTGACCTGTGGCTGACATATAAACGATGCCCCACCAGGGCCTGAGCCCGCACAGGGTTTGCCACCTGCGGGCGGTGCTCCCACAGCACAGGCGAGATGCTTTAGGTAGAAGGGAACAGCATGAAACGAAATTTACTCGCCGGGTGAAAAAGTTACACCCTCTTCGAGTCTCTTTCAATCCCTACTATTAAATCAAGGAGAAACTCAGTTGGGGCCGGTCTATCTCTAGGCTCTCTCTCTAAGATGTCCTTCTCTCTTTTGAACAAGAGAAAGCAAGAATGTGGGAAAGCGTGCACATGGGGAGAGAAGGCCAGACCCTGGCACGCTGCAGAAACGATCGAGAGGACCTCAGTTTGTCAAGAGCAGGGTCGGGAGACCGCCGCCCGAAGACCGAGTCTGGCCAGCTGCCTGTTTTCATATGACCTGGGAGCTTAGAATGGTTTTGACATTTTTCAACCGTTGAACCAAACTCAAAAAAAAAGTATAATATGTCATGACATGTGGAAATGACATGAAATTCAAATTGCAGGGACTATAATAAGGTTTTATTGAAACATGCTGGCGCCTATTTGTTTACTGTTGCCTGGGGCTGCTTTCCTGCTGCACTGGGCAGAATCGAGTAGTTGGGACCCTCAAACCTCAAAGACGTACCAGCTGGCCCTTTAAGGAAGAGCGTGTTGACCCCTGGATAGAGGGTCGGCAAGAGAACAAAAATTAACCCGGTAGTGTGAGGCTGAAGGAAGCTTGAAGGACGTGCTTGCAGAAGCTGGGAGGAGAAGGGGCTGAGGAGTGGAAAGCTCACACTTGGAATGTCCGTGTTTTTCTAACACGCTCAAATAAATCCACAACAATTTTAAGAACTGTTCTTTAGCATCGAAACAAAAAAAGGAGGGAAACACAAAAATCAATGCATAATTAAGATTTTGAAAGGTTCATCCTAGTGTGGTCCTAAAGGCACCGTGTGTGTCCCAGGGGTGTACACAGCCCACTCTGGGGAATGCCAAGTTACGGCGGCCGTCAGCTTTCCGGGAAGGTGGGAGCATCCCGATGTGTGTGTTGACGGATGCACGGATTGTCATAATTACGAAATCTCTTCGGGAGACTTGGCCCCACTGAGTCTGCGTCCGAGGCCTCTGGAGTATTGCTGCTCCCTTAACAGTTTCCCTGCTTGTCCCCAGCCTGTGTGCTCCCTGATGGGAGGCGTGCCCACTCTGGGGTCTCTGCTGCACTCCAGGCCGCTTCCCCCGCCCCAGGCTCCCAGAGGCGGTGGCTACCATTTTGGCCTTGAAGAGGGGGGACATCCGGAGGTAGCCCTTGCCATGGCGGTGGATGTAGAGGAGGTGGATGGGGCCCAGGACCCAGAGGTACAGGGGGGGCACCCAGACCCCTGCCGTTTTCAGGAAGCACAGGTTCAGCAGGTGGGCAGCCGCAGGCTCGGGCTCCGTCTGGTTCCAGACCTGAGGGAACACCAGGGCGACCCTTAGGATGGTACAATGCAGGGGTCCGAAACTCACCTACTTGGGAGGCCAGGCAACTTTTTGGACCCCTAACATGTACATGAAGATGTGCCATGCATTTGGGGCGCCTCATAATTCTCAGCTACTTAAATCCTAACATCAACCCTACCTGATTTTGCAGCTGAGGCCCAGAGAGGTTGAGTAACTTGGCTGATGTCACTCAGCTGGAAAGTGGTGGTGCTGGGATTTGAGCCAAATCAGTGGGGTCCCGGAGTCTGGGATGCCCGGGATCTGTGATGAGTGCTGGGCATGGACTGTCACTTAATCCTTACAACAATTCTAGGAGGTAGGTGTTACTGTCCCCATTTCACAGACCAGGAAACTGAGGCACCGAGAGGGTAACAGCCTCCTTCAGGCCCCTACAAATAGGAGGTGGCAGAGCTGACTCCCACCACGGCCTGTCTGACCCCAAAGCTTGTTCTATGGGGGGGGTAGGGGGTGGGAGGTCTTGATCTGTGGTTCTTATCTTAGCGCTCTGCTGGCCTTTAACCCGAGAAGAAGTTCAAATGGGATGTTTATAGGACACAGCCTCTTCGCTCTCTCCCTACCATATTAATAGTCCCCATCTCTCTCCCCACTGGTTATCTTTCCTCCTGGCTTCACCATTCACCAGCTATGTGAGCTTCAATCTCCCTGTGCCTCAGTTTCCTTTTCTGCAAAGGGAGGATAATAGGAGAATCCACCTTTAAGGGCTGTCTTAAATGTACTAATGTTGGTAAAGCGCACAGCTGATGAGGGCATAGACTAAGCCCTCAGTTAACCTCAGCTATTGTTTCCTAACCTACCTGGACCCCGAAATCTTGGGAGTTTGCGACCCTCCCCGCACCCGATGAGCTTCACTCCCCAGAGTCTATTGCTGAGATCCTGGAGGAGAGGCCGCCAGGGAGGTGGAGGTTCCGGAGCTTTCTGCAAAGAAGGGTCAGAGTCCCCGTAGCAGGGGGTCAGGAGGCTGCTGGCACGGGGCGGGCTCTCCTGGGGGCCGGCTTGAGTAAAGGGCTTGCGTTTCGCGGGCAGGTCTCCTCCCTTCCCGGGGATTCTGGGGGGCTCTCCCCTCCCCAGTTATAGAGATCCACCCTGAGGAAAAGGGGAGTGTGTGTGTGTGGGGGGGACACTCACCCCGGGGCCTGCGCAGGGCTCCCCAGGAGCGGCCATCGGGCGTCGTCCGTCGGGCCGTCGGTCGGTCGGTCGTTCTGTCGGCCAGTCCCTGGGCAGCTGCCTCCCCCGCTCCCGGCCGGGGAGAGGGGTGGGGCCCCGCAGCCCGGCGGGGATTCGAGCTCGGGGATCGCCAGGTCCCGGGCAAGGTCCAGCGGCGCGGCGGGGGCGGGGCGGGGCGGGAAGGGGTGAACCGAGGTGATGGGGGGGGGGGGGGGGGGCGGCGATCAGCTAGGCCCCAGCGGGCACCCGGAGAGGGAGGGGATCCCAGGGCCCCAGAAAGTCCCCATATAATCTTCCTTCCCCTCGCGACGTGTCATCCCAAACTTCCCGCACACGCTGGACCCAACAATTCCAGGAATTTATGCTGATAAAGGAACCTAACAGGTGTGCACACGCCGAGTGTCCAAACCGGGGTGGGGGATGGGGGAGAGAGGCTCGAACCACAGTCTCCCGGCCGGCGGGGACGGACACTGTCTGCCTCCCGGGTGGTGGGAAGGTTTTAAGAAGATTGCTAATAAAGAGCATAGTGCAGTGCCTGGCACACAGTAAATGTTCAGTAAGAGTTAGCTGTTATTATTAGCACTTTATTCATAGGTTGCTAAGCAGTGGTTCAAAGTGCCATTGCAGAAATATATGAATATGGAAAGACGGTTGTTGAATGCTAAGTGAAAAAAGAGATTATAATACAAAATAGTCTATGATATTTTTGGGGAAAAAAACGTACGCTAGATTGGGGAAAATGGGGAAGAAAGTCAACTCATTTATTTTCCTCTCTTAGGTCTTAAAGCAAAGTGTGTCCCCAGCCATGAGGTTTTTTTGCAAATGACTCTATGTAACCTACCTGCATAGAGAAAAAGAAAAGCAGTGATCTTGGGAATCCTCATTTTCTTTTTCTTTTCTGTTTTCCTTCCTTCTGCAGAGAGCACGTAATCCTTTCAAGATGGGAATGAAAGACAGCTTTTTTCAGACACACAAGCACAAGTGCTCACGTTGGGTGAAGAATTAAAACCCTCCACACTCCCCCCCGCTGCCCTATTGTTTCTCTGGGCCTGGTCCTCATCTTTTAGTCCTGCCTCCTGCGGGACCTCCACAGCTGGGTTCCCTAGACCCTTATTTACCCCTGTCTTTCTGAGTTTCCCCAACTTGGTCTGGGGCCAGGCAGTATGCCTTCAGCTGTCCTCCTGCCTCGGTCTTTTGGAAGAGCAGGGACGCAAAGAACCCAAAGGTTTGTCTTGAAGCTGAGAGTGGCAGATCTGCTGTTTACATTTCAATCACGTCTGTTTATTTGAGGCGGTTTCGGTGGAGGCTGATGGAAATTATGGGGCAGCTTGAGCGCCTTCTCCCTGCGACCCCTCCCTCCAATTGGCTTTGCCACAGTCCTAGTGCTTAATTTCTTTGTATATCTGAAGATAAATTTAAGGGGAATGGTGGAAATGGGAGGGGGAATGGTCAGGAAGTCGGGAAGAGCATAGAGAAAATCAGTCTGAGTGAGCCAAGAACAGAACTCTGGCACCGCAAAGCCTACTCTCCAGCTCTCTGAGTAGCACGAGGCTGCGAGCAGAGCCCTAGACAAGTCCTTTTTCCTCTCTGGGCCTCAGTTTCCCCTCCTGTAATGTGAGAAGCTTCCATAGGCCAGCATCTCCTAATTGGTGGCTTCTAGCCCCCTGGTGATTTGCTAAGACAAACCGGGGATTCACATAAGGGAGGGTAAAGGGCATCTGTTTCACTGTAGTCACAAGTAAGGAACCTCAGTAAATAAAATAATTCTATAAATAGTTCATCTTTATAATCGAACAGTTGAGAGTCTCATTGTATTTCAGGTGAGAACGCAGAGGGGAAACTGACATCAGATGTGCTCACGAGCGACATCCTCAGTGGAAGTATCACGCCATCGCAGCCGCTGTGAAGGTTTTGACCACTGTATAGTTTAAAATCATTATGAGTCACAGTTGTCTATTGCTTAAGTCTTAGCCACCATGGCAAATTCCAGTGGGAAATTTTCTCTTCCCTTGTCATTGAAAACAAAATATAAAAACTATCAAAATAAAGCACTTGATTTTTTTTTTTAGGAGCGAAATGGAAAAGTTCCAAATATCAGGTCAGAAAAGCAATTTTTGTCTATTTTGATGTGGTGACTTGCAGTTAAGATCAGCCTGTGTCACAGTATACTCTCAATCCCGCGACAAAATACAGCATGTTGATGCTGTATTTGAACTTATTTTCAGACAAATTCGGCTTCATCTCACAGAGCTAATGCAAAGTACATTGAACTGCTTGTATCTCTCGCTTATGGGGAGAAAACCCTCAAAATTTGTACCTATACAAATATCTTTAGAGCTGGGATTAAAAGAAATTTTAAATACCTTTTTAAACATTATGCTGAGCCTAAATGACCTCTATTTTGCCTAAAAAAAAATCGATCATTTATCATGGGAAAATGCACCCTCTTACGCAAATTCCTAAAGGGGTTTTTGAGATTATACATCACCTGTGAAATATAAGGGTCAAAAAGATTCGGGAAAGTTGTTGGATCCTTCGTGCTTTCTAGTTTCAAGGCTCCTGAATTCCAAAGTAGAATTCAACTGCGCGTTTGCACCTGTCGGCGCCCCTTGCAAATGCACCTGCCAGAGGGTGCGCGGAGTCCTCCCGGCCTCCAGAGGGCACAAATGAGCGCGTTTGATTGTTGAGCATGCGCCGTAGTTCTTGTCTCCCGGGGGGGCATGGCCTGGGCCGGGCGCGCATGCGCCGCGGCGGCGGGAGGGGCGGGGCCTGGCTGTCAGCGCGGCCGAGGAGGAAGCAGCGCGGCGCGCGGCGCGCGAGGCGGGACCGGGGCCTGCGGAGGCTCGGGCGGCGGAGGCCGGGCCATGTGGGGGCCGCGGCCCGTGGCGCTGGGGGCCGCCGTGGTGCTGCTGCTGCTGCTGCTGAGCGGCGTGCGGCCGGCGCGCGGCTCCGAGGACATCGTGGTGGGCTGCGGGGGTTTCGTCAAGTCGGACGTGGAGATCAACTACTCGCTCATCGAGGTGAGCGCCCGGCCGCAGCTCGCTGTGCGACCCCGGGCCGGTCGCTCGACCTCTCCGGGCCGCCGTGGCCTCGCCTCCGGCCCCAGGCGGTTGCCGCCCGCCAACCCCATATGCTAGGGGGCCTTTCCTCTTTAAAGGATCCGCTTCCCGCCGGCCCCCCGCCATCCCCTCCTCGCTCGCGCTGGGGTGGAGGCTCTTATGGCCGGGTCGGCTGCGGCATGAGGCCGGGGGCCTGGAGGTGCGGGCGCAGGGGTGTGAGGGACACTTTTGGTGACGATGATGGCGGCTCATGACTTTTATCCTCGAAACTAGGGATCCCCCGTCTCCAGATCCATCCCCATCCAGACCCAAGATAGTACGGAACACTGACCGTCTGCAGATCTCTTAAAACCCAGTCTCAGCAGGACCCAGACCCCAGATCCCCCCAAACCCAGACCCCCTGAAACTCAGATTTCGCGAAACCCATATTCCAGAACTTAAGAGACCTCAAGTCTTATCCCCTAAACCCCACAACTCAGAGCCACCGAAAGTTCTAATCCGCTGCCCCTCCCACCCCCTGGGATGCTTTTAAAGATGCTGACCCAGTAGATCTCTGTTGGCATCCCTGGGGCTGGGAATCGGTATTTTTGATCTCCCCTCTTTCCCCCATGAGACTCCTTTTCCTCTGAAACTGGAGCGTCGTCAGCTGCCCTGATTGCTTTCCTGGGTAGTTACTGGAATTACACTGGAGATTTGTGCAGAAGTCTTCTTGTTAAGTTGTAAAACCCTCTTCAGTTACACAGCAGCCCAGCGGGATTATGACCCAGAAAGCTTTTGTGAAGACGAAGGGAGATGGAGGGAGGGGGAGAAGGATGGGAAGGGACCTGAGGGAGGGCTGGGCGTCTGTCTTTGGAGGGTACCGAAGATGGAGCAGAAGGGGACTTGAGAGAAAGTAGGATGAGGCTGGGAGGTGCCACAGGAAGGGACGGGGGACGGAGACCCCAAGGGCTGTCTGTCTGAAGGCACGTGGGAGCTGCTCAGGCGCTGGCAGCTGGAGGGCTGCGGTGAAGGGCTGACCCCACATATCCTACAAAGCGCTTGCTGAGGGTTGGGGGTGGGGGGAGGAATTAGATTCCACGCCCCACTAGCTCTCTGACCTGGCCTTGCTCCAGGTCCCAGTTTTTGTTCCCATGAGATAGTGTTGGGAAAGGAGCTCGGAACCCAGCACCATGTTTCCTAAAGAATATGATCATCACCTTCAAGACCCCGCTGTCTGGGGCTTCTCCACCATTCTTTGGTCTTAAGAAGTCAGGTGTTGGGGCTGGCCCCGTGGCCGAGTGGTTAAGTCACGTTCACTTCAGTGGCCCAGGGTTCGCTGGTTTGGATCCTGGACGTGGACCTACACACTGCTCATCAAGCCATGCTGTGGCGGCATCCCACATAGAAGAACCAGAAGGACTTACAACTAGGATGTACAACCATGCACTGGGGCTTTGTGGGGGGAAGGAAAAAGAGGAAGATTGGCGACAGATGTTAGCTCAGGGCCCATCTTCGGAAACAGGCAAACGTAAAAAGAAGTCAGGTGTTTAATGAATGCACCCACTGGCACTGGCAGGGCTCCTAGGGTCTGCCGGGTGCCCGTGCCACCTCCTGCATGGCCCCCCAGCGTGTGGGCACAGGGCCTTTCAGAAGCTGCCCTGAAAAGCTTTTTGCAACTTGTAGTTTCCTGGGGCTCCGGGAAGGAAGTGAAGGCAGTTAGGGGCTCTCCCACCCCAAACACTACTGGTGACTTTGAGAGCAGAGGGCTGGGCTTTGTGACCCAGTGTGATGTGTGTCCCTTGGGCCCGAGGGCTGCCTGTCCAACTGGTCTGAGACACTCACTCCTTCATAATTTCTGATTAGGAAATCAGACATTTCATATATGTAATTTATGTTGCCATCCTCTGTCCTGATCTGTACTCTGAAAGAAATGTAAATAACCGAGATATTTCACAATCCATTCTTAATTGTGTTCTCTGCGTGCTGGTAAAGCTACCTTCACTCTTCTCCAGCCTTCTTCCCTTCTGGGTGTTTTTCCTTCATATTTGTTCAGCCCATCACTATTGAGTGAGCCCCTGCGTGTGCTGAAACCTTGTCCCTGGTGGGGATTTAGCA